TAAATTTAATTGCTATACCTCGCGAACTGGGGGATCTCTGAAGCAGCACCCAGGCAGAGGCAAGCAAGCAGGAACGCAGGCACCGTGGAGCTCTGTCCTTGCTAGAAAGTTTTTCCTTCTTAGCATGAGAGTCCTTGCTAGTGAGAGAGAATGAGTTTGAACCTGCTGTTCTTGCTTGTTTATCAGGGATTCAAGGAGGCATAGTTTTCCACTGTGCTTTAATCTTTCTGACAGCAGGGCAGGTATTTCAAGCATGTTCAGTAAGGTGCCTCTGAATCCTTCACAGGCCTATGCTATCTAAGTGCAGGTGTTCTACATGTCAAGAACACAAGACTAAACAACAATTAGTGAGATGTGTTTTTCGACACCTTCAGCTGCAAGTCACTTGATCATGTTTACAGTCCTCCTTGCCAGTCTTCTGTTACTTTCCCAGAAAGACAGTATCTCTCAGCTTGTCTAATTGATATGTTGTGACTGGTATTAAGCCAGTGTTAATATAGGAGAAAAACAACACAAATGTATGAAACAACCATTTTTATATTAACCTCATTCATTAGGTGATTGAAAAAATGCTTGAGGATTAAACCAATCTCTTCTAAAGCAGAACTATGATAAGAGCAAGAGAAAAGTAGTTTGTAATTTTCAAGTGAGTTGTTTCCTCTTTGTGTTTCTTTTTGCATGTAGTTCTCTCTCATCTTTTTCATAAATAACGTGGAAACATAACTTAGTTGAGGATTAGTGCCATATAGGACTACTGTCATTTTGAAAATATTTTTTGAGAACAAATGATAATAGTAATGAAAGTAGTAATGAGAGTGGAGAATATTACCAGATGTCTGCTTGAGTACCTTATCTTGCCTTTTGATTTATATTGTTTGTTTATAGCATTCAGAGGATTGGAAAATTAAATGTTTTTCTGTAGTTCTTCATTCTTGATCATTTCAGTGATTTAACCATTGCTTTACTGTTCTATTAATTGATTGCAACACTATATCCATGTACCAATGCTTCGGCCCAAAAGTCTCACTAGTGTTAGTGGGAAATGTTAGTGGAGTTGAGTCTGGCAAGAAATGTGAGGGGCAACAAGGAAAGATTCTACAAATATATCAACAGCAAAAGGAAGACCAAGGAAAACACAGGCCCACTGCTAAATGGGGTGGAGGCCCTGGTGACAAAGGGCACAGAAGAGCCTGAGGTATTCAGTACCTTCTTTGCCTCTGTCTTTACTAGTAAGACTGGTTTTCAGAAATACCAGGTCCTCAAGACCAGAAGGAAAGTCTGGAGCAATGACTACTTACCCTTCATGGAGGAGGATCGGGTTAGGGAACACTTAAGCAGATTGAACATACATTAAGACCATGTGGTGTGACAGAATGTACCCAGGAGTGCTGAGGGAGCTGGCTGATGTCGTTGCAAGGCCCCTTTTGATTATCTTTGAAAGGTCATAGTGACTGAGAGAGATTCCTGAAGACTCAAAGAAAGCAAATGTCACTCCTGTTTTCCAGAAGGGCAAGGTGATCATAGAATTATAGAATGGTTTAGGCTGGAAGGGACCTTGAAGCAACTAATTCTGGAAATAATGTCCAAACACATGAAGGACAGGAAGGTGATGAGGAGTAGTCAGCCTGAATTTAAAAAGGGGAAGTTATGCTTAACCAACCTGATAGCTTTCTATAACAAAATGACTAGCTTGGTGGATGAGGAGAGAGCAGCAGATGTTGTTTATCTTGACTTAAGTAAGACACTGTCTCCCATAACATCCTCATAGACAAGCTGATGAAGTACGAGTTAGGTAAGTGGACAGTGAGGTGGACTGCAAACTGGCTGAACAACCAGGCCCACAGGGTAGTGATCAGTGGCACAAAGTCCAGCTGAAGGCTAGTTACTTGTGGTGTACCCCAGGGTTTGATATTTGCTCCAATATTGTTTAACATCTTTAATAATGACCTGGAAAGTAGGGCAGAGTGTACTCTTAGCAAGTTTGCAGATGGTACAAAACTGGGAGGAGTAGCTGCTAGACCAGGTGGTTGTTCTGTTCAGAGGGACCTCAGCAGGCTGGAGGGTTGGGCAGAGGGGAACCTTGTGAAGTTCTACAACAGGAAACCCCATGTGCCACTACACATTGGGGGCTGACTGGCTGGAAAGCAGCTCTGCAGAGTAGCGTCTTGGTGTCCTTGTGGATGATCAGATGAACACAAGCCAGCAATGCGCCCTTGCAGCAAAAACAGCCAACAGCCTCCTGGACTGCATTAGGCAGAGCATTGCAAGGAGGTCGTAGGAGGTGATCCTTCTTCTCTACTCATACGGGTGAGACCACATCTGGAGTGCTGAGTCAAGTTCTGGGCTGTCCTGGTTCCGGCAGGGATGGGGTTAATTTCCCCAAGGAGCCGGCAGGGGGCAGGTATTCCATACCACGTGGCCCATGCCCGGGCTATAAGAGGCGCTAGCTGGGGAGGGGAGAGCAGTCACCACTGGGGGGTGGGCTGCAGTGATGTGGGTCCTGATGTGAGTCCTGATGTGGGTCCGGTTGGTGCACTTTGCGGTGGTATTGTAATCGCTTCTTCATATCCCTTTATCGGTGTTACTGTTTTCTTTTCATCTTCCCTTTTGCTGTTCTGTTAAATTGCACTATTTTAACCCACAAGTTTTGCCCTGTCTATTTTTGTTTCCCCATGGCTGTGGGAGTGGAGCGAGCGGCCGCGTGGTTCTTTGTTGCTGGCTGAGGCCAAACCATGACATGGGCTTTCCAGTAGGAGAGAGATTGATTTACTGGAGCGAGTCCAGCAAAGGACCACAATGGTGATTAATGATCTTTCATATGAGGAGAGACTGAGAGACTTAAGCCTGTTTAGTCTGGAAAAAGGGTGGCTCAGAGGGATCTCATCCATGTGTTAAAAAAACCAAAGTGCACAAAACCCCCCCAAATACCCTACACTCCCTCCCCCCCTTCTCTTTCTCTCTCTGCTTTTCTGCCTGTACGTGGCATTTTATTTCTTGCAGCAGTTCTTTGTTCTTTTGTAGGTTTCCTTCCCTCTCCCATTTTGTTGCTCAAATATTTAGCAATGGTAGAGTTAAGTTTGATGCATAACTGTACAGCCAGATGAGGACAGGAACACTTGTGCTTCACTGAGCCTAATAGAGATGTAGATTTCATGCCTTTTGTCTTGGAATAATTGCAGAGTTGAGGAAACATCTCTGAAGTAAGTCACAGTAGTACTGAAGCCATTTCTCTATAATTTGAAAAACTCAGAATGATCTTCTAGAGTTTAGATGTTTTACAGTATCTAGGTACTAAATGTTGGAAAGCGATATATACTTACACTTGCTGGGGAGGCATACCACAGAATTAATGATCAGGATTATACCTTGTATATGTTTGCTTATAAATTTTAAAACCAAGTTGTCTTTTACTTGTAGCAAGAAAACTCAGGTTTTATACAAAAGTGTGGTTTTCTTCTATAGTTGCTTATAAATAAAATTAATAAGATGAGAAGGGATTAGATTTTGTTTAATGCATTGGATTTTGAGCCACATGTAATACAAATTATCTTAAGTTTTAATAGGCTTTTAAATATGATGCGTGGTTTGTGATGTTTTCATGAATTAACTGTGCCATTTCATTAAAAAGCTTTTAAAATTTTGTCTGATGATTTACAGGAGACTGGGTTGCAGTACAAGAAATTCGTGGCATATCCTTGGATCCTGACGGTTACTTGGCCAGTGGATATGGTAAGGTTCTTTTGGAGTTCCCTGCAACTGTAGCGTAGCATTTTCTGTGGCTGTATTTTCCTGTTTCCAGTGTAGGCAAATACATCAGAACTAGTCATCTTAAACTGCGCATTAGCGAATGGAGATAATCATGCACTTCTGAGGTCTGCTTCATCTGGTCTATTTAGGACTTCTGGTTTGCGTGAATGTACTCACACTTTCGAAGTGCCTGTTTCTTGCTATTGGTTTTAAAGGGAGGCGAAGGTGACTTGCTGAGGTGGATGTAATGAATTGCTCCTATAGCATTTTGAACACAGTGGTGTGTGTTAAGTTGCAGTGGTATTCAGGAGCATTCTCCATCCCTTCCAGCAAGCTCTGCACGCGTGCGTGCGTGCATACAAGCACCCACATGTATGCACACAGAGGCTTGACAGACAGATCTGTTCAAAGGCTTGTTTCATCAAAACATTCTCTTGCAAACATAAACTTTTGATTGGAAGAATATTTTGAAAACAGTGTTGCGTTAAAAGGGTGTTAGTTTTGTTTCTGTTTCAGAGCCCAGTGCTCTAAGACAGCTCAGCATTTGCCTGTCTCAGATCCTGCCAAAGGCCTTCACTGGGACAGCATTGCAAAGCTGTAAAGATAAATGATTTCCTTTTTCAGAGCCCTGCTAAAGGCCTTTGCTGAAACAGTTCAATGTTTGCCCATTTCAGAGCCCCACAAAGGACTTTCACTAAGACAGTTAGCAGAGTTGAAAAGAGAAAATGATTTATTGAAGCGACAGGTGTAACAGGTTCGGAATTGCTGTTGATAAATGCACTAGCTGCAATAGCACTAATATGCTACAATAATGCTAGCAAAACAAATGAATAAATGCTATCCCAGGAGTTCTTTCACCAAGAGGTGAAGGTGCAATGCTTACCAAGAAGGTGTCCTTGTTTTGGTAGAGGAAGCGGAGCGCATCCCGTTGACTGTCTCGTCTAGGTCTCAAGTTTCTTCTTCCTTGGAGAGAGATCTCCTGGAGAGAGATCTCCATCATGTGTGTGTATATGTCTATACAGGTACCCTCCGTATTGCCCCTTATATCCTAACCTTATCTGATCCCCTCCCTGGGGTGATGTTTTCGTATGATTTGGATGGAGATTCGGGTACTATAGTCTTGTATGTTTAGCATGTTCTTCTTTTTGTTCATTATCATACTTAGGAGTGTCGTCTTAATATTCATTTTGAGGATAATTAAGCAAAAGGTCTCACTCTAGGTACTGTAGCCTTCAAGATTCCATGCTGAAGCCATTTATCTGCGTATTCCTTTGCTCCTGTGACTTTGAGCAAAACCAGGGCAGTCCTGCTGTCACAAGACTCCCTCCTTCTGCTGTTTTTCACACTGGCCTGTCCACTTTCCCCTCCACAGGGTTCGAACAGGAGATAAGTGTCATCAGTGTTGTTAACTTCTTATGTACCAAATTCCCCCCCAGAGACAGCTTTTCTGTAATGCCTCTTCCCATAAAAGACTTGCAGCATTGTGGGGAATTCACCTTAACTCCTTGCTGGCACTTCACTTTGACTTTCCTCTTTCCATAGGCTCTGTAGGAAAGAAAGAAACATTTCCAGGATGAGTGAAAGCAGGAGCCTCAGCTGAATGATTTGAATGGTTCTCTGGAAGAACCCACGTTAAGTGCCTAATCTGACGTGGGTTCTGAAAGTAGGGTTGCTTCTCTCTACTGGCTATGGAGGGAATCCAAGGGAATCCCAACTTTAGTGTCTAAATTTAGGTGGTATGCCCATTGTGCTGTCTATATATTTACAGTATGCACGTTACCATTGACCAGTATCCCCGTATGATAGACATGGACAGTAGAAATGCTTTTAAAAAGTGAGATGTATTTCTCTATTTGTGCTGCTTTTCAGATTGAGGAGTAAGCTACCGAGATCAAGTAGGTACTTCCTGAAGGTTGTAGGTTGTCTTTCTGCTGTCTGTGTCACGCACCATTTAATGGGGTCTGCGGAAGACTTCCTTTTCTGTCTCAGCACTTGCTACTACTGTTAGGCTACGAACTGACTCTTGCAATCTGGTCAGGAACTCATCCCAGATTCTGGATTTCTAATGTGCTTTGGGTTGCAGAGATCCCCGAGATCAGTCTGTGTTTGTGTTTATTTTTCAAGAAAGCAGTGAGTGCTGTGCTTTGGAAACAAAGTTACGAGAGAAGAGCATAAAATGCACTTTGTAAGTACAGAAGGTTATTCTGGGTGTGAAGCTGCCTATTAGAATACATCTGAGAAGGTGTTTGACCAACTGAGGGGCCAGCTGTGTATTGGCCTGCCTTAAAGATGATGTTTTCCGTAGTGAGTGAAGTTTTGGAATTACCTGGCTCCATTCACACCTGGAAACTATCAGGATGCAAGTTAATGTTCAGAGCCATTCCTGGGATCCGTGAGGAGCAAATGAAATAAATGTTCACAGTGCCTGAGGTTGGCATCTACAAAGTCTTCCTAGTGTGCTTTTCACACGATGCACACCACTTTGTGTGAGAAGTCATTTGAACTGCCATCTGTCTGCTTTCTTCCTGGCAGTATCAACTGTACTGTAAACACTCTTGTGGCTTTATTGTAACTTGCTTTTTGATAACATCAAAGGTACTGTATACTCATGGTTTCTGTGGAGGTCTTTGGAGGTGCTGGTGGTATAGGTGAGTGACTCAGTATTTGTCATTAAGCTCTAGCCTGATAAACTCCTTAAGCTGGTAGTGCTGCTGAGCAAAACAGTCCCATTCTGCCCCACACCACGGTTGTTTATTTTCACTTCCCCAGGGTCAGGTCATTTGTTTAAGACACACTTGTGTAATTACATGCTGAACCATCTTGGGGAGCTGATACCACTGAAAAGCAGTCTGGCAAAGTAGCTGGGTCTTTTTTCAGTCGCTTCAGTTTCCTCCTGAATTTGACCATGTACTTGCAGGAACAGGAAGGATGGGGAAGTGGGGAAGCACTACTACCTGTGAGGAAGTAGAAGAGGCCTGGAGTGCTCAGGGTTTATGCCAGTGGAAGTTACTTTTTGTGCTGTGGCTTCACATGCCCTCTTCTGTGACAGCTACCTCACATACATTGTTTTCAGATGTGAGCTATCATGACAGTGTAGCTCTGGTGAGGCTAGTTTGTATCTGTGCTGGCTTGTAACCTAGTTGCATGTCCCTACTTTGTGTAATAACCATGAACAAAGTTTCTGGGGAGCTGAGGTGAAGCTGACTGTCAGCAAAATCCTGTCTGATGTTCAGTGGGAAAGATGTAAATAGTGTGCACAAACATAACTAATTACTGTGTTTTCTCTTGACTCTTTTTTCTTGTGCAGGACAATGAAGACTACCCGCTGATCAGAACAGGACCCTATTGGAAAAAGTTCAAGGCCAATTTCTGTGAATTTATTGCAGTACTTGTCCAACAGTGCCAGTGCAGCATTCTGTATGATAGCTACTTGATGGACACTATCATCTCGCTGCTTACAGGCTTAGCAGACTCCATGGTCAGAGCATTTAGACATACAAGCACTTTGGCAGGTAAAATAACTTACAGAGTTGCTGTAGAATGTGAGTTTTGTTGACTTGTATGCAAACAAAACTGCTCAAAATTGAAAAGCTCTCTTTACTGGAGCAGTTGTTCTCTTATGCATTGACAGTGCCTTCCTCCTAACTTGTGTTACTGTACTATAAATAATTTGTTCCTATCTGTATCCGAATGGAATTTGGATGCTTCATGTATGATAGATCTAGACCATTTTTTCTTTCTAAAGAAAATTTCTTTAGTATCTGGTGTGACTAATTTTAGAATTTTGCTGTGTTCTGATTCTTCTTTTTTTTTCAGTAACTTATTTTTCACAGTCAGTTTTCTATTTTGTTATTTTCCTCTCTCCACTAATTAGCATGGTGAGGTTTCATTAAATGCTTCACCTATGAAAGCTTCCTTTGGAGAGCTGTTCTTGTGGTACCTGTGCTAAAAAGAACATTGCTTGTAACACTTTTTTTTTCATGCAGCATGATGATACTAAAGCTAGTATTTTTTTTTTCTAAAGCCTGTAAATACCCTGTCTGCTATGTGAAAAACACAGTTTAATTTGTTCTAAAGCACACTGTTGGCTTTGAAGACTCAAAAAAACACGCTTGAAATCTGTGCAAACCAGCATCTAATGATCCTTAGAGAAATAAGAATTTTTGTCAATTCAAGTAAAATATTAAGATTCCCAGCCTTTCATGGGGCAGCTTCACTGTTGTTTGGTTTGTTTTTTTTTTTTGGGGGGGGTACTGAAAATCACCAGTTCCACAACTCTAGATACTTTTGCAGAAAAATCAAAATAATATAAACTAAGAAGAGAGCCAGTAAATTACATCTCTGACTAGACCTCTGGCTAGAACTCTGGACAAGTTGTAAATCGCCAGTAATATCTCTAAATTTTCCTTTTTTGATCATTGTCTGCCTTTAAAATAAACACTGTATTTTAAAACAAATTACTGTAATCTAGTTATGTTCGTATTTTGGATGATAAACTGCTTTGGCTAACCATATCCTTTTTGCGGTAAAGTGGTGAGTGTATTTATGCTATGTATTTCTGAGGTTTGGGTTTGTTTCCTTTTTAGCAATGAAACTTCTGACAGCAGTTGTAAGCGTACATCTGAACCTTGATGTCAACAAGCACAATGCTCAAAGATTATATGAGGTGGAGAAGAAGAGGATAAGTGGCAAGAGGACCAATTATAGACTTGACCAACTAGAGAGAAAAAGGAAAGAGGTTAGGCAGCTGTCCTGTATGGCAAATGTGTGAAGATATAAAAAGAGGGATTGCTGGCACCCTGCTTTTGGCTTACTGCAGTTCTTTGAGGTTTATATCTTTATCTAATGCATGGTGCGGAGCGGTCGTGACTGGCTAGTTTAAGAGGTACAAAAATGATTAAGGTAATAACTGACCTATGTACTGTTAAGTTTTGATGTCTGTCCTACTAATAACTTCTCTAAATTGGCATCGTTAGCCCTTGGTCTGTACACAAATATGGATTTCTGCATACATGTAATTGCATTAGTAGCTCTGGTGTTGTGGAAGTGCAGTTTTGCATATGTTTATACAAATTATAAGTCAAAATGTTAGCTCTTGAACTGAATTTCAGTGAATGCAAAAGGACATGGGATAGCCGTCCTCTCTGTGTAATGCGTTGTAAAATCGGTCATAACTTTAGGTATGACCTGTATGTTTCTCACTGTTCAGTTTCTGTCATTTCTTCCCTGCTCAGCCAGAGAGTTCCATATCAACTCCCAGAGACAGGCCCATAACTGTAAGAAATAATTCTGGCTTGAGCGCAGAGGTGACTTGATGTATGAACATCAAGCATAGTGCCTTCTCTGCTGACCTTAAAATCGGTTATCTCTGTTCTGAGCTTTGGATGCCCATGGACTTCTCTGTTATAGAAACAACCCTTTTCTGTGGAAATTAGTGTTTGGGTGAGACAGGCGTTTTTAGTATGATCATAGATCTGATTTTATGGGGAAAAACAGAGCAAATGTGTGTGTTGGGGGAAGGGGGGAACAAACTTGTCTTCCTGATGCTGTTGATGAGAGAATGTTTTTATCAAGTGGCTTAGGTTACCGGAGGTTAAAAACTGGATTTTCAGGGCTCGGTTAAAATACACACTCATTTTGGAGTGGGTGCATTTTGAAAATTCCCATGTCTGCCTTTCTTCCATCTCTGTTTAAGTGCATAAAAAGAGAATTTGGACTTACGTGTGAATGTTACTTAATAGTTGTGTTGTATCTTTCTGTGTATCGATAGATTAAGACTCACTATATCAAACATACTATGTGCTGTACCTTGTTATACAGGCTAGTAATTGGTATATGATAAATCTTTCATTAGAATGTAGCTACAAAAAGGCCAGTTGCTAGTGTAGATACAGACCACTTGTTTTGTGTTGGTACCATGTGTAAATGATGGCAGATTGTACCACAGTAGTATTTTAAGTGCACTGATGCAAATTTTTCATGTGTAGTGAATTGTGAGACCAATATTAACAACCAGTTCTCTTTGTATTTCAGTATGAGCATAAGCTCCTAGAGATACAGAACATGATGAACGCTATTTTCAAAGGGACATTTCTAAACCGTTACCGGTAAGAATAAAAATAAAGTTGTGATGTGTATCTGCATTCCCAAGAAACTCTTGCTCAGATTGTCCAGATACTAGAATCAAGTTAAGCATCCAGAGGCACTGATGGTGTCAAGGCAAGTGTAGCAGTTAAATTATTTCAAAGAATTTGGGCTTATGAAAAGACCTCTCGAGTATCTTTCCTAAGTTCTTCCTGCTGGCTATAGAGCAGTGTGTTTGTGATTGAGAAGATATCCAGAGTTATGAAATAATTATTGCATAAAACATGGCTAAAAGTGGCCGAATTGTTGATTGAAGAATAACTTAGAACATTAGTATGAAAATACTTATAATATTTTTGATTATACATGCTTCTGCAATTCCAGAAAATAAAAATATTGCAAATAATATAATTAATATATATTAGGCATTTTTAATGTATTAATATTACAATTTTATAATTTCACAGTGATGTGATCCCCGAGATCCGAGCCACTTGCATTGAAGAAATTGGTAGCTGGATTAAAACATACCCAGATGCTTTTTTAAATGATAGCTACTTAAAATACATTGGGTGGATGCTGTATGATAAGGTAAAGTTTTAGTTTTTCTCACTGGGGGCAGTAGATGGGAATTTTTATAATTTTTTTTTTTTTTTAAGCATCCTAACATTTAAAATCTTTGGAGTAGATATTTAAGTATGTGGTGGTACAAAAATTAATTTACTTTTTTTCCCATTTCAGGTTTTATTTTTAAAGCCATTGTAGCACTAAGTAACAGAGAACATGTTTTCCAGTTCTGTAGCAGTGTGTGTCCCTGTGTGTGCAGTTATTTTTATGTGTTACTGAATCAGGAGCTATTACTGAATTGTAAAATGGCGTATCTCCTTTGAGCACACGCGGTGTTAAATGTTGACTAAAATTCTGCTTTTAGGTTTGATGGCTACATTTAAAATTTTGTTTTACTTTATAAAAATGAACAAATAAATATTGCCTATAGTAAAATAGTCTTCAATGTTGCATTTCTCATTTGGAATTAAATGGATATAGAAAATATTTACAAAGACCAGTCATTTCCCAAAGGGTTTTCTCCTTTTCCTTATAGTAAATTTATTTTTTATTTTTGAGTAGGGGCACCTTTGAAAAAACAAAAACCTCCCACCAAAGCAAACAAACAAAAAACAACCAAAAAAACCACCCCAGTAACTCAAAAATATGCTTTTTCTTATGTTTCTGAAATGCATGAGAGATTCTAGGGGAATATTTATCGTCAATAGCTGATTACCGAAATTAACACACTGTACTTCTGCAGGCCACCTTTTAAAACGTATATAGCTTCTGTATAAATTCTGAAACGTCCTCAGTTTTGTGTCAGCTTAAGGTAATGTTTGTGTTCGCTGAATAAAATTGTAGTTTACCACGAAGCCAGCAGGGGGAGCACAAAGCCTCTTACTTCCCTGCGTTGTGCCATTAGTGTAAAGGTAGTATTTAGATTTTTAGAACAACGCATCTATCAAGAACTGTCGTCTTTTCCTGCATAAATTTTATCTGGTCAGAATATATTTTTAGTATATGTTCAGTTGGGAGAATTCTCAAAAGAAAAAGCCATTTTTGAAGATGATGTGTCTTCATTCCCAGTGCTGTACAGTGAAAATTAACAGCTGGTGTCTCTGATTAATGCACATAGCTCATCCAGTGTCATTTATTGGGAACTGGAAATGGTTGTTTTTCTAAAGCTTATTATCTGAAAGCAATGCAGATGCAAGCAGAGTGAGATAAAGTGAGACGTCTTCCATATTCCACATTGGGCCGAGACCTGGTAGTGTGCCACTACTGGTGGTTGCAGTCCCGGCTGTGCTTTGTGATTTGCAGCCACTGTTAAATTGTTTGTTTGATTCCAAAATGAGAGCAGGGCATTTTTGGCAGCAACAGGGGCACCAGTGCTTTTATATACATCTGAATGTTATTTCCCACTACTCTTCCTTAATAAGCATTTCCATCCCATCTTGTTGGGGGTGGGTGGCAAGAAACTGATATCTCCCAGAGCCAATTTTCTTCTAGAATATAATGTAGAGAATTTTGCCAAATAATTTAGGGCCCAGAGTGGAACCACCAGAAAAGTATTCTAACTGTGGGGGAAAACCTGGCCACGATCGTCTACAGTGCTGTAAACAGAGATTAAGTTCAGTCATTTGGGAGGCTTTAAAGCAGAGAGGGGAGGGGAAGTAAGTATAAAATTAACATTTTGTCTTCAAAGTCTTTTATTTGAATATAATCATTCCTTCTTCCCCGTGAGATACCATTTTGCCATTATACCCTGATATGAAACATTATATTTTTTATGTGAAAGGTTATTTCCTAGGTGCAAGAAAGTGCTGCAAATTCAGTGGTAATATGCTCAAAATTGTGTATGAGGATCTCTCTTTGGCCCAGTAAGAATTGTGGAACGGTGCTATAAGGATGCATTTTTGAGTAGTTTCTGTTCATCTGCTAGAAATAATTTCACTTTTTATTTTTGAAGACCAAGTAACAGTTGATACTAAATCTGACAGCTGTGTGCAGTTAAACAATGTTATATGTAAGCCCAGTCACCTATCAGTGCATTTGTGAAACCCTGGCACCTAGCTCATTCTCACTGGTGTTCTTCCAAGGGAATATATAGCTCCTAAATTAGCATCCAGATCCAATCAAATCAGTTCTGATCTGAGCAGCAGGTATTGAAGGGGAGTTCTGTGTAAAAAAATTCAGAGTTAAAGTCCAGAATAATCAAGACAATGAAGAATAAGGATGGGGAAAATGGAAGGCAGAACTAACAGAGAGGAAGGCAAAGACAATGGAGATGCAGACTTGCGACCTCCTACCATGTTAGACTAGCTTTGTCTGGAACTTTGGGGCAAGTTGTTGAGGTTTTCTCATTAGACTATGAAAAACAACCAAAGGAATCCTGTGGAAACAGGAACTTGCTGTTGAAATGAACTTCATTGTCCTGACCTTGTGATTCTCCTGGCAAATTTCAGGAAATTGAAAGGGTTTTTAGCTTTGCCACCCATTCAACATGGCTATGAAAACTGATCCCATGGTTATAGCTACTTCTGAAATACTTCTTTCATCAAATGATTATGCGAACATAGTGGTTTTCTGCTCTGTGCATATGTACTGATTTTTTTTTTTTTTTTTTTTGCGGGGGGCGGAGGGTAGTTTTTTTAATTGTTTTTCCCTCGATAGGGCAGGTAAGCTGGATTGTCTTCGCTATTCAGGAGTAATTCAGAAGTAGAATTTCCTAATTTATTATTTCAGGAGTGTTGAGGAGAAAAAAAATGACCCAATGACCTCATCAAATCTTCCAGGTCCCAGCCTGTATTTGTAACGCTTATTGAATGGCTCCATCTTTGTGATAGTGGTCAGGCTGAAATCTCATAACTCAATGCGTCTAAGCAGTGCTGGAGCCCATGCAGAGCTCTTTGAGGTCACTAGAGCTGCCCACCATCTTACTGATGTTTTCTGCCAGTCTGTTTGCAGGTCAGGGTCGAAATACACTATGATACAGCTGAGGGACAGCGTGTGTTCAGAGTACCCTGAAAATGTGCTTCCATAATTCCCCTTCACTCTGTCACAGGTTTGAAAGACCAAACAGGTGGATATTTCATCAAGATTAGAATGGTAGTCCTGGGGAGGGGAGTAGATGTCTGGGTGTTTGTACTTGCCTACCTTACTGCTGAAAGGAGCTGAGTGTAAGTAGTCAGATGGTTTTAGAAGGATGTGGAGTAATTTTGAATGATCAAGAAGCTATGAGGAATGATGAATCTAGAAAAGGAGAGGTGGTTGAGAAGGAGAAAATGCAGCCGAAAACAGCAGAACTAGTCGTAGTAGTAGTTGTTTGTTCATAGTTACTAGAGTTAATTTTCTCAACACTGAAAAGAGACATATACATATAGGGTTATGACTGAGAACTTTCGGGTGGGAACAGGATACCTTAGAAGGCAGGTGGTGTAGTTTAATGTATTAAACCGTATATCTGCAGACCTTCTCTTGAATGCCACCTGACTGACAAATGCAAATGATATTACTAGCTACGTGCCAAGGACTATATGACCATCCAACAAACTATCACAAACTTTTTTTTTCTTTTCCCCAAGCACAAATGCAGTCCCTATTCACAAGCAAAGCCTTGTGATAAAATGCTGATGGCAGCTGAGGTCAGACTTGCTGTACGTTGGCTGAGTTGAGTTTGTGCCAGTGTGTAGTGATGGGTACCAAGCTGGGACTGTTTGTGAGTGAGTTCTGCGCTGTGGAGCCCTTGTGGCTGTAGGAAGCAGCAGGTGGGAGCAACAGTCTCTTTCTCAGACAAGGCTTTTCATTTTAAAGTATGATATAAAATATGTACTGCTGCCATGTCACAGGCAGATTAGAGCTTAGTACCCATTGTTACCTGTTGATCTTTCATTTTATATTTCTAGCAAAAAGCTGTCTTATGCAAAACTGTTGGTCAGAGCCCGCTACTGGGAATCAGCCTTTGCTTTCCGTTTAAGCAGGTGAACAGGAACTTGTAGTAATGGATAGCCAATGTGTAGGTGGTCTCCTTTCTTGGGTTTCCTTGATTATTCTTACTGCTATTGTTAGCAAGAGGAATTAAGGAAGAAATATGAAGATGATTCAAAGCCTGCAGTTTATTTAACTGTCTCTGCTGATATCCTTAGCATTATAAGTTTACAGAACACAATGATTTTTCTATGTTAGATCCTCAAAATGACTTTCTTAATGACATTTAAAGCTTTGTCATTTGAAAGCTTTAGCAATATGCAGAAGACAATTTAAAATCTGGATAATGAAAAGTCCTCTTTTTGAGGCATTTATGAAGCAGCAGTACTAATAGTGTGAAATAACACCTTGCAGGAATAAATATATTTTGCCTAAGCTAACTAATTAGGCCAAATTCAATGCAACCCTTGTCTTAGAATGCTTAAAATATACTCTTTTAGTGTAAAACAGAAATAGGGAGAAGTTGTAACATTTGATTCTGTATCTGTGACAACCCACGATGATGAGCTAGTGCATTTCTGAGATGTATCTCTTCCTCTGGGAATTTTCGCTGCCCCAGAATTACTTGGAGTCCTCGTGTCAGTGTTTAACGATTGTCTGAGTCAAATGTTGAAAGGAAGCAAACAGTCTGATGTATGGAAGAGTGCTGATTGTATTAAGTAGGCCATCCATAGTGTTGTCTTTGTATATCTTTAACAGGTGAATAGCAAATTCGTGCATCTTTTGCATTGTGTTGCTTTTATTAACTGTAAGGTCTGTGAGAGTTTCGTTGTCTCTTAGAAAGCCTAACACAAACTTTGATGTAGCATTTAAGTTTGACTCGCTGCAGGCTTCCTCTGTGTGTGTGTGTGTGTGTGTGAGAGAGAGAGACATGCGCGTGTGCACACAAACAAAATGGTACGGATGTCCCTAATAAAGAAGATGAGTCAGTATTTGAGTAGTCTGCTGTAGGCACCCACAAAGAACTTTATTTACATAATATAAATGCCAATAGTGAACAACGTCAAAGATACATGTTTTTTACTGTTAGCTGATTTCTTTGTCTTGTAGCAAGCTGAAGTGCGGTTGAAGTGTCTTCTGGGACTGCAGGGAATTTATAGCAGAAAAGAACTTGTTTCCAGGATGGATCTCTTTACTAGCAGATTCAAGGTAAATAGATTACTGTTTGCTATTTTTCAGGTCTGGGTTGGGTGTATGCAAAGGGTCTGATGTTTTAATCAGAGCTGATCTCCCCACTCTCTTGACTGACTGACCTGAGTTCAGAGTACTGCAGAAACAGCCTGCTTGATTGAGTGGATGAAGGAGTTTTGCAGAGATATTTCCCTCTGTTTCTCTGGAATTTTCTGTTCCACTTTAGTTCATGCACAAAGTGGTGTTAGCATGCACTGTGGTCAATTATCTCCACCATTCATCCAGAATGGCCCAGATTTCCTTACAGGATCTTTGGCACATGGCAAAGAATTTCATACTCTTAAAGTCCCTTTTTTTGCTGCTCCTGATAATGGGTTAACCTTGTAGATACTGGATTGGCTGACCATGTATCACACTGATGTGGGAATGGCTCTGTATTGATCCACCACGTCAGTATGAATCTTGAAGAAGGATCCCTTATCTCCTTTCAGAACAAGTCAGATGATATGCTGTAATTTTGAGAGCTTGTTCTGTGACTGCACCGAACCTGTACACTGCCTTTATCATATTCCAACATCCTGACTCATTTAAGAAGTAAGCCCTTTACTTGTTTAATTCTGCCCTTGGTAATGACTTCATCAGCTAATCTTATCCCAATGGGGCTGGGCTTTTTTGGTATTTGAAAAAGAAAACTCAAAGTGCTGTGATTGATATCTCAGTCCCTCTGAATCAGTACATAATCAACGCTGGCATGTGGTGGTAATTCATGTTCTTTTTGCAGCAGGTGCAGGGCTTACCTTGTGTCAAAGTAGTTGCTGATAGTAAAAAATACCTATAGCACATCCTCAAAGAGCAAGAAATAGATTAATATTAGTATTTTAAGAATAAATTGTTCAGTTTGCAACTTGACTATCTAAGATTAACCCCTGTTTTAAAGAGTTTTGTGGTGGTCCTTTATCTTTCTGGTTAAAGGAAGGTTGCTGTAAGCTGGGTAAGCAGCTGCAGTATTGGTATTCACAGACTGATGAAATAGCTCCAGTCTGTTTGTACTGCAATCTCCGTCTGTGTGGAGGATGTGATATAAATGGATTATTGCAAACTCTATCCCCCGACCAAAAGGCCCCAACCCAAATACAACTCCTTCCCCTCTAAACAAAAGAAACCCAAACAGCTATACACCAAATACAGACTGACCTGGAGTCTTTCAAAGTTTAAATCATGCTCTCTCAGTGATGGGAAATGTAATCATATAACCATCAATCCATTTCCCACAAGCAGGAGTTTCGCATGCTCCCTCTGTTACCCTTCAGTGTTCAGACTTGGGATTCATGGACTTCCACACCTTGCCAGCTGGGTTGTGAGAAAAAAGAAGGTGCAAAGTAAAATGAATCTAGGGATTCAGAAATGACATGTTAAGTAAGAAAGCTGTTAGTCCCAAAACAAGCAGGTCCAAGGGTTTAATATGCCTTAAAGATGTAGACTGTACTGAGGATTGTGAGTTCTTGGGAACACAGGACAGGAAAATTTCCACTGTTTTCTGAGATGTTTGCATGTGTACCAAGTTACAATAATGGTAATTCTGGAGGTTGGGAGTACTACTGCTATTCCATGAAGTAGCTTTATGACTCAAGTCCAAATTGTCTTTCCAGCAAGGCACTGGCTTCTGTAATGTGTAGGTACACGCAATTTACTGTTGATGGGAGCACCTGATTATATAATGCTTGTAATTTGAGGCTTACCTTCATTTAACATACTGAAGTGCCAGTAGTAACATCTTAGAAACAAGATGTCAGTCACTTTTAATTTGTAGACTGTAGTTGACTTCTTGTGAACGCATACATTACATCTATAAAAATATCATATTACTGCATGATTAATTCAGTTAAAAAATTAACATGCTGTTAATTTTCAGGGGCTGGGGAACTACTTGGTAGTAATCAAGTTGCCTTACGTCTCTTAGGAAATAGCTGCTGAAATAAAAATAAATCTCTGCTCCACTAGTGTAGATGATCTAGCTGTAGCAAAAATATGTGTTTATTGAGAACAAACCATGTTACATCTCTTTATTGTCATTTTACATCCATTAGGATCGAATTGTGTCCATGCCTCTGGACAAGGACCATGAAGTAGCAGTTCAAGCCATGAAACTCTTGATGCTTATGTCACAGTAAATAATTTCTTTTTTAATTTACTGTATTGTTTTAATGGCAACAAGATCCAGATACAATCCTGATGAATCTTTCTGTAATCAGTTACATGCTGGGAAATAATTGCTCCTAGCAGGATATTAGTTACAGTTAAAGCTGCTCGAGTCGTGGCATTTTCTTTCTGTGGGAAACCCCAACGTTAAGAAAACCCTTGTGCTGAGATTCAGCATGAAACCTACATTTTTATGTCTCTCTATTTCCCTCTGAAAGGAAATTCCACAGTATTTTCATTTTGGCTTTTCTCATATACAGCATCTGCCTGTCTTGGCAGATGCCCTCATCAAGGAATCTTCAGTTCCAGGGCTGCCAGGTCTTGACCAGAAGCTCAGGGAACTCTGCCATCTTCCCTGTCTCCCCACCTGATGCAGGAATCCTTGAGCTTTGAGGTTGTTGCTGGAATTTGGACTTCCAGATTCTTGGCTCCATGGCAGAGAATCTTGGAGCTATTGAGCCCACAGCAGACTGACTGACAGGAAATGAGCAAGTGTATGATATCTTGTTTTTGCTGAAGTGGAAAACTAAAGGAAGAGTTGTTTTGTTGGGAAATTACCTGCCAGCCATAGATTTGGGAGGATACCAGCAAGCTGGAAGTGTGGGGAAAAACTAGACTAACATTACACGAGTAGATGAACCCTATTGTGATACATCCTTGAGCAGCACGTCTATTTTAGAAATAGCTTTGTTTGCAAAATATGTGAAGAATAGATTCTCTGTCCCCCATTTTCAATGCAAAATAAGAATAAAAAACTTACTGCATTTCATTGTTAATACAGTTGAGATGTTAGGACTCAATAAGTGTCTCTTGTGTCTCAGGGTATAAGTTGAATTCTGTTGATGCAGATGCTTGCCTCCATGTACAGTGTGGTGCATTGTCACCTTGTGGGATTTGTTTTTCTGTTTATGCCAGAAGTATTGATCATTGCTAGATGAGGATGTAGACCTTAGTGGACCAAATAATATGATGTTGTAGGTATTTACATTAAATTTCAAGTACGTTTGTATGTTGAAGTGCTCCTTTATAGTCTAGACTCACTCCTGTCTCATTTTGTGTTCATTGATTTGAGTGGCATTTCGTGAAGCCTACTTCAACATACACATCGTGATGCTGTAAGCATAGCGTGCTTTTCTGAAGGGAGTACCATTGTTTGGGCCTCACTAGTAGTAGCTACAGATACATTGTCTTTGTGTTTACAACGTCCATTTCTACATCCCTTGGTTCTCCGTGGTGTGTAGCTATTGAAACAAAGCACAATGCTGTGTCTGTGTGTATAACGTGTCCCTGTGCTAGGAGGAGCAGCACACCATTGTTGAAGTACAAAGATGCTGTACACCACTTACGGCTGCCCTTGTTCTGTGTCTGAACTAAGAAGTGCTATATTGGCACTGCAGCTGTTTATCATCTCTGGCTTTATTATAAGGGATCATGTTCTCATTAATGCAAGCTGCAGCTATACAAGTTTGATCAGTGCTTCTTTTTCCCTGAAGCAATTGTTTCCTAATTTTTCTTAAATATGATTTCCAATGTGAATAAATGTCTTCTAAAGCTTTCGGAATGACATTTTTTTCATCATAAAATGTAGTTTTCATAAGTAAAATAGATACATTTTGAAGTTGTTTTTAATTAGGCTGCATGCAGGCCTAGCAAATACACGCTTCTCTTTCTTTTTGCTCATCTGTTGCGTAGCCATCCTCTTTTCTGCCACCTCTCTCCCCCCAGTTGCTCTGAGCCCTGCTGATTTGGCTTAGTTATTGGAGTGATGAAAGTGGGAATTGGGGACGCAATAAACAAATTCAATGACAGCTCTTCTCTTTGATGAGACTAGTACTGACCAGTCTATAAAACCTGTGTGAAGAGAATGCAGATAATATAGACAGTCGCATGTACAGACTTCCTAATAGGAGCCTGCATCAAGATGCCTTCCAGCAGGGGAAAAGCTTATGCCTTAGTACATACAATAGTGTCAGAAAGGACTCGCTGCTGGCATTGCAAAAGCAAAGAAGTTTCAGGGCCAGTCTGTCCCAAATAGGTGCATCTCGTAGCTCAAAACTAGTATCTGGATATTTAGCAGTAATGCCGCTTGATGCATGCAGTAAAGCATGAAATGGGGTTGGGGACAGCAACTGCCCTGCCTTTAAAGAATAATAAATGACAGCTTGTATAAATGGCACTTCTATTTGTATACATTGATGCAATAATTTTTTTTGCTGCTGTTGTGATGCCGTATTGGCTTCTCTGTGGATGGCTCATTTTTGTCTTCTGCAAACTTGGCAACTGAATTCTAGTTGCCCCACTTGAATTTTTAGTGAGGCCTGAAAGACCTTTCAGTGTGAAGTTTCCATTTTTAAAGGTACCTGCAAGAACCTCTGTCTCCTGAACTCCCCATACTTGATTTGGAATCATGGATTATTTTTAACAAATAATATATTCTTAACTGGTTGGATACTGACCTCTAGAACGTGTCTCTAATCTTGGAATAAAAATCTTTTGTTGTTTCATAATGTGTTGGCAAGAAGCAAAGCCAGAGAAACTTTTTTCCTCCAGTTCACTGGGTGCTCTGTGACTTTCTTGGAGAAAATTTACTATATCAGTCACTCTTTTTTTACTGACTTCCATAATTGTCCTTTGGGTGAGTATAGCAGCAAGACCTCACTGCCAGTGAATTATTTTTGTCATGTTTTATGGTTGCAGTGGAGCTGTGCTCCATGTAGGTTAGTAACAGCTTTGCCCATCTCTTAAACATCACTGCATTCCAGTCCTGTGGACGTTGACCACTCTGCGTGCTACTGGCCCATAAAACTGCTATGCTGGCCTTTACGTTCTCTCTCTTGCTAGCTAGAGAGGCAGTGAAAACACTGATCTTTTCAATTCACTTAGATGTGTTCCATTATTAAAAAAATATTCCAGTGCTGTCTCAAACACCTCTTGCTATGCATATACCTGTTTTTTCATATCCGTATTTGTATTTTCATCTTGTCTGTCTCTGTGAGCTGAGGTTTTTTTTTTCTTCTTGTTTGTTGCATGTTGTCTCAATTGAATGCCAAGGTCTTTGGGCTAGTAGATTTCTATTTTTACACAGCATGAAGCAATCCTCAAACTGAAATGAGCCTATGAGGCTTAGCATAATAGAAATTATTAATGCTACTGAATTATGCATAATTGTTAGCATTAATGTTGCAAAGGATCTGAGAGGGAATAGAACTAGGAAGGAAATAAAGAGGGAGAAAATGTGAGTGACAATGAGAGACCAAGGAATCTTACTGAAAACCTTGCTCTTTAGGAGCCAAATTAGTTTAGTGTGCTTACTGCCAGACAATTCTGCTCATTTTCATGTGCTTGACTACCTAAAAGAGCAGAGGGATTTTGGAAGAGAGCGGCAAAAGTAATAAGGTAACTGTAGTAGATGAATGAGGAAAGGTTACAAGTGCTGCAGGTATGGGCACAAATCTACAAATAGCTTAAATATGGTGATGGGAAAAATGTAACTAGAAATTAAACTGAGTTTTAAACAGAAAACTTTAAAGTTTGAAATCTGAAAGAGTTGTCTTAGTGAGAACTGTGAGTATATTGCACTCATTGAGGACTTCACATAGTTTGAAAACTATTTAATGGAGCTGATAAATACACTAATTCTCCAAAGCACTAAAGTGCTTTGACAATGGTCAGTAGAGTTAATCCAACTTAAAAGTCAAGGAACTGAGGCTTGTAAGTTCCCAGTCTCCTGCTTAGCACAGGAGATGCAAGTCAAGTAGCGGCACATGACTGTTGTGCTTAAAAACCTCAAGTCTCCCTTCCGATTCCCAACTAGACTGGGAAGGATGTTTTAGTTTGGAGAGGGAGGGGCTACACTGTAGGAGAAACTGGAAGACTGGATTTGGTGAAGGATGCCAAGGCAAATAATATAACATATGTTACTACTTCTAGTGGTAGATGTAGGTGTCCCATGACAAGTAATTCACTGTCAGCAGTCAGCTGAACTCTGTCATTCTGTAGTGCGATTTCATAGCTAAGTCATGGACTTTGGAGGAGAAATGGGCGTTTGTTAGGCAAATGCACTGTGTCTGGCAAGGTTGTTCAGACAAGCCATTGTGCAGAAAAACAGTTCGGTTTATTGAAGGCTTAAATGCTATTATAAAATGTGTTTTCACGTGATTGTAAAAAATAAGCTGAAGAGATGCTTTGCATACAAATAAGGAAATTATCCACCTTTGTCTTATTTAGTGGCTTTTAGGAAAATAAAGAAATGTTATCTTGAAGTTGATAGAAGTAACGTATGAAGCAGTGAAGCAAATTATACTGCAATTATGGTTTCTTGCATCGATAACTTGGTTGTAGCAGATTAGGTGATATCAAAAGGGAACAGCATGGAGCTCTTCACAGCTCCTCTGTGATTCCTTCAGGTCCACCACACTCCTGTTCAGGTGGAGTTGTGGTAGTGCTTTGTCAAGCCTATTCCAAACAAAGCAAAAGTGAAGGACCAAAATGGAACAAAGGCATGTGCTTTCTCCTCTGTCTTCTCTTTTCCATCCTTTCAGGTTTATGCTTTCTTGGAAGTTACCTTCAGTTATTTTCTGCCATCCTGCACCTTTTTTTCCAAGAACCTTGAGATCTCTTCTGAAATCTTATCTTTCCTGTCTGAAGAGTTAACAGAAAAAATAATTGCATGTCTCCTAGAGTTATATTTCTTAACCAAAACAGCATACCATACAGCATCTGTCTAATGTGCATCTTCTTTCGTTCTGTCAGCATAATCATAGAATCACAGTGTATTGCAACATGCTAATCCTATTTTAAAGTGGGTGGGAAAGGACTCTTGTTATATTGTAGTGGCAACCATGTTATCGTCTATCTTTCTGATCACTAAAGTGTCAACTTGAAATACCTGCAATGACAGCAGGGTAGAAAGGGAGATAACAACAGATTAGCTGATTTTTCTACTTAAAAATTTTATCTCAGACATTAGAGTATTTCCAGCATATAATTTTTGTATGATAGTGCTCAGTGCACAAATTTGGGTGTTTAACTTGAATTAATTTTAAATGCAAAATGAACAGATTTTTTTTTTTTTTGATGGAGATGCTATACCTTGGATTACCGATGTCTCCATAATGTTGCACCAGATCTTTCCCTGCACAGCCATTAAAAGCAAAAAGAATAAGGTGGCAAACCTCTGAAAAGTGCATCAGGTGTATTTTTGTTTAATGTTGTGATTTTGATAGTTATCCTTGGTATAAGCAATAACACAGACCAAGAGAGGCAACTCCAGCAGTCATGCCTCTTGCTTTTTGTTCTATTTTACTGTACGCAAGATATGAAATCTTTCAACTGGTGCCATATGCAGAACAAAATGGGTCTTTGATCTCCCCCTAGAATATCCCAACTTATTCTTCATGACATGTTCACAGTGAAGTGCAGAGAAAATGGTATGTCATTACATTGGTATGTGGAAGGCTAGGCCTGTTTATTTTTAGGCACCTAAACACTGGCAGGCACTTCGGGCTTAACCTTTATCTGTTGCTTGGCATTCTGAGAACTGCAAATTTGCAGCAGTATTATTGCTGTATTTGAAGTATTCTTTGAATGTTTGATGATTGGCTTATGTATGCAAAAAAGAAAAGCACCCATTTACTGTGGTAGTATTAATGGTAGTGGTAGCAGCTGTAGTCAAGTGCTGCTACTTCCAGAGGCAAGTAAAACCCCTAAGCACTCATTTGAGTGGGAACTGTGAGTATAAACCTCACTGTATCACAGAGAGTAGTGGTTGAGCAGTATGTGAAAAGTAGTAGTAGTAGTAGATACAGGTATTCCCTCACATTCAAGAAAGAAAAAAAATATAAAAAAATCAGGTGCTCAAGTGGTGTTGTGAGTGTCTGTCAGCCTGTGCTGCAAAGAAAATGGGTTGTTTTCCCCTCCTTTGCTCCTGTGCTATTAGGGAGTGCTTCATACGTGGCCGGAGCACCTGACCTAGCCTTGTCTTGAGGAGGGAGGAAATAACACTGCTGTAGATTAATGCAACTGGGGCAAATTCCTAGCCTCTTTGAAGACAAAGTTAAAACCAAGGAGGTTAGGATTTTAGAATCACAGAATGATTGAGGTTGGAAGGCACTTCTGGGGGTCATGTGGTTCAATCCCCCTTCTCAAGCAGGGCTGCCTAGAGCCAGTTGCCCTGGACTACATCCAGATGGCTTTTGAATATCTTCAGTGATGGAGACTCCACAGCCTCTCTGGGCAGCCTGTGACAGTGCTCTGTCACCCTCACAGTAAAAACATATTTTCTGATGTTCAGAGGAAACCTCCTGTGTTTCAGTTTGTCCCTGTTGCCTCTGGTCCTGTCACTGAGCAGAGCCTGGCTCCATCTTCTTTGCACCCTCCCTTCAGGTACTTATACACATCGGTAAGTTCCCCTCTGAGCCTTCTCTTCTCGAGTTTGAACAGTCCCAGCTCTCTCAGCCTTCCCTTGTAGGAGAGATGCTCCAGTCCCTTAATCATCTTTGTGGCCCTTCATTGGACTCTCTCCAATATGTCTATGCCTCTTATGTTGGGGAGCCCAGCACTGGACCCAGCACTCCAGGTGTGGCCTTACCAGTGCTGAGTAGAGAGAAAGGATCACCTCCCTTGACTTGCTAGCAACGCTCCTCCTAATGCAGCCCAGGATACCATTAGCTTTCTTTGCTGCAAGGTGGTGGCTCACCTTCAGCTTTGTGTCCACCAGCCCACCTAGGCCCTTTCCTAAGGAAAGGCAGTTTCAGTTGCACTGGAAAGGCAGAGTCCTTAATTTTTACCCAAGGAGATGGCAGGCATGTTGCTGAGCTCTTTGAGCTATCTGAACAATTTAGGCAAGGATTTTTTTTTTAAATAGAGACACACAGGTATTGCATTCACTATTTCTGTAAATGTTCTAAGAAGAGAAAACCAGAAACATAAAGAATAGAAAATTAAAATATAAAAAAAAGTGTACATTTGACTGGCATGTTCATACAGGAAATTCCATTCCAGCATAAGAAAACAATTTTTTACTGTGGGGGTGGTCCAATACTGGAACGGGTTGCCAGAGAAATTGTGGAGTCTCTCACTTTGTAGATATTCAAAACCTGATTGGAAACAACCCTCAGCAACCTGCTCTAGCTGATCCTTCTCTGAGCAGGGGGTTGAACTACATGATCTCTAGAGGTGCTGTCCATCCTCAGCTGTTCTTTGATTCTTTGTTGGTCCACTCTGGATCATGGCATATTTGTATAGAAATTTCTTCTTTTTCAAGCTGTCCCCGGTTTTTTGAAAATATATAGAGAGAAAATGACAAAGGCAGCTTCATAGAAACTAGTGCTTTGAAAGAATTAAATAATAGATTGACATTAAAAGAATGAAAGAAACGTTTTCACACTGCTAGTTTAGTTCAGTTAATTCCCCACAGCCTTTTAATATAAAGACTTTCTATATCACATATTTTTACTCCTGTAAGTGCAATTTGTTGTCAGTTTTTGTTTTACTCTCACTTGTTAAACTCGTAGAAGTTTAATGAATTTGATACTTCATTTGTGGCTTCACGGGACACACCAACACTATTCATATACTCTAATGCACCATGTTCCCTCTTTCAGTTTCTTACTATTTAACTTCAATAAACACATTTTTACTCTATTTCCCTAGTTCTGTAGATGACTGAGTAAGACTCGCATAAATATTTTCCTTTATGTTCGTTTCATGATATATATGCTCGGAGCACTTTCTATATGTCCTATTGCTGCAAGTATATACTCAAAGGGTATTGCATGCTAAAAGAGGCCCGAGTGCCCTGGTTGAGGGCAAACATTATCTTGCGAGACTGACCCATTGCGTTGGAGACATACCATCAGCACTTCCATTTAGACACCTTTTTACTGTTCTAGTGACCATTGTAAGCAACCATGGAAAAATGTGAAAAATTCGAGTGATACATGAGTAAATACATTGTAAAGCTAAAATTCACGGGGTGTCAACTTCTATAAATGAGAGGCTATTGGCTTTGAGATTTTAACCCTCCCACTCACCGCCCGCCCCCTATTTTAAATCCCAGACAGTGGTAAAAGATATTTGCAATGGACACTCCAGTGATATTCTCACTTAAGGTGAGCTCATTTTTTTCAGTCAGGTTGGAGGATGTTTTGGGGCTTTGTGGCTTGTGAGGATGCTAAAGGATGTGCTGGGTTTGGAGACAAATGGGCAAGTGCAGGAAGGTCTGCTAATCTTTGTAAGACATCACTCCCAGAAAATGAAGAGCGTGAATCCTCAGTTTTAGAGAAGGTAGTGGACCACAGCTGTAGATGGTTTTAAACTGTTACTACCTGAGGATTGAGTGCAGTAATAAATAAAAAACCGTTCCCCTCGCCTGGCTGTAGTAAGTGTAAGGATCTCATATGTTGTTCTTTTATTCTCTGAAGTAGGTTAGTGCAGTGACATTGCTATGCCAGTAAGAAACATTTTGGAACTGTAATCCTTGCTTTGAGCTTCACTCCTCTGGTATCTCTTCAGTGGGTTATGCAGCCTTGATACTTCACTTTCCTTTTTGCAAAAGGTTGATATTAATGCTATTTCTACCTCTCATAGAGTGTTCTAGGTTTACTAGTTGGCATGTGGTATTTTCAAGATGCATAACTGAATGAAAAAATTGTGACTTTGAGTGTGTTTGCACATAAAGGTCACAGTCATAAGCATGCTATCAGGAATGTATTTTGATTTCTTTTTACATGTGACTGTATAAGCCTAGTGTAAGAGAATATAGGTTTTAAAATACTGTAATAAATAATTAAAAAGAATTGGTACTGCAAAATGAAGGTGGCTTCTTGTTTATTAACTTCTATGGTGAGCATCTAAGCATGAAGTAGAGGCATGATTTTCCTATTTTATTACTGTTACTCTTTTTACCATGACCACTAATCAACCTTAATTATATTTTAAATTAATGTTCATGTCCATGCAGTGGGCCTGATTCATCATGGCTTGCACAGATCTCTGTTTCTCTACACAGTGAGTAAAAGAATGCTGCCAATTTTGTTTGATAGCATTTTTAGATATTTCCTACAAAAATTCAGCTGTGTAAACAAGTTGCATAGCTATGGAGAATCAGGTCTAGTAAAAGCTGGACATAGCATTCATAATATTCTTTGCAGATAAACCTGAACTATAACTTCCGTTGTTATTTTTGCCTAGGAACTGTGAGGATGTGTTATCAGCTGAAGACTGTGAAACGTTATACCAATTTGTTTATACCACACACCGTCCACTTGCGGTAGCAGCTGGGGAATTCCTTTATACAAGGTATCTCTGCCTGCCTGCATGTCTGCTTCTTGCATATTCTCATTTGTTTCAGAATGAAGGTGGATTTATTTAAGAGGGACATTAAGCATTCATTTTTCTGCTGGAAGTGTGTACTGTGAGGATAGTTGATATGCTTTCTTCTGCTGAATCAGAAGAGAAATGCTGTCTGGGGGTAATCATTGGTTCCCCTGCACAGCCCTGGCACAATAGGCATGAGAAAAGTTGCAAGACTAACATAGAGAATATGAAACAACTCACGGATCCACAGATGCCATGCTATGTTGAGAGTATACCTCCTTTCTTTCTACTTTCTTTTTCTGTTGCTTTGCTTCTTACAAGCTAATTCATCACCTGGCATCTGCTAGGTTTCCATGGCTTTGGTGATTAATCACAAAAATGGCCTCCTCTTCTCCCTTTGGAAGTTGCCTTATACATTGTAAAGGCTTTGAATAATGAGAGATGCAGCAGATTAAAAAGCCCTCCCAATTTTCTGTCAGGTTAATGAAGTACAGGGTTTATCTTCCCCAGGAGTAACTCTTATAAATGGGCCTCTTATAACAATGGTTGCATGAAGTGAATGGAGTTGGTGTGCTAAAAAGAGAAGAAATAAATATTCTGTCTCTACGGCTGAGAGAAATAATTTTGCCTTACAAAGAGGAATGAAAATAAAAATATTTTGGCAAGACTTTTGTGGGGAAAAATTCAGAAATAATAATGATTTGTGTTTCTCGCGTGAGAATTCTCATTGTGAGCATCTCCTCCTAGCTGTCTCTCCCTATCTAGCTGAACTGCTGACATTCTGGGGTTTGTGGAGCCAAATCCAACAGAAAGACAAATTAAGATAAATTTCTGTTTTGATGAGTCTTCTATCACATCTGCTAGTCTTACTTAGTCTTTTGTGTTGATCCTAATATTCTATCATAAATCAGGTGGTTTTCGGTCCTAATATTCTATCATAAATCAGGTGGTTTTCCTCTAAGAACAGTGCTGCTTTTTGCCATTGAAGTCATTGCCACGATAACTTTACTTTTCCTACCCAGCTTCCCAGTGCAGCGTGGACACTTTGACCCTGTAAACCTCATCCTTGTTCTTGTTTGCTCAGTTCTTCTCTCTTGCCAGTATAGAAACGTTCATTCTAGTGTGATAGAGATGTTAGTGACACCCTCCTTTCCCTGGTCATACTGATAAAAGTTTTAGTATAAATGCTTGTGCCATTTTTTTCCCTTCATCTTGGATTGCATGAAATCTCCTCAATGTTTGCATTTTTAACTTAGGTTCCTTACTCAGCTGGCATAAATTATACCAGCAGAAGCACTTTCTGAAAGTTTTTCTAAGCTTTTACTGACATTGAGTAGCGTGGTCCTGCTCTTAAACCCAAGCCATTTGGGCCTTCCGTTAATCTGTGGGGATGGCCTTCCTGGATTTATTTTGGGATTAGCACTTTTGCTGAGCAGTACAGTCACACTCATTTTGGATAAAGAGGGAAATGAAAATTGAAGTGTCATATTGTGCTTCATACTTCAGGCAGAAGAGGAAGAACAGTTTTTCTACGGTATTTGTGAACTTGAGTAAATTGCCTCTTATAAATACAAGATACTACGCTTTCTTTAAGAAGCTTCAGTTCTAAAATGTACCATGATGTGAATAATGGTCGGGTAGTAATATCTCTACTGTGTTCTTAAGGTTTAAATTCAGCCTAGAGCAAGCCCCTTTTCAAGCATGAGCAAATGCCTGTCTCATTATATGTTCAGTGTTGTGGAATCTGCATCTGTTGTCCAGAAAGCTGGCAGGGTACCTGTGAAACTGTCAGAAATAGTCTCTGCATCCACAGGGATAGCAGATCTCTCATGACGGAAAACAATCTAATCTCTTTTCCTTTCATCTGTTAAAAAAGTATAACGTGATTTGGAGTAATGAAGTAGACGTTTAGAAGAAATACAGTCCTTCGGATCTTGACAGAATTAGTGTTACATCGGCAGATGAGTATAAGGAGAATGTGGCAGAGCTGGACTGACTTCCTTTTCTGTTGGCAGGCTGCTTAGTCATGAGGGAGATGAAGAAGTTCAGCCCAAAGGAGGAGGGAAGTTTGGGGCGAGTACTGGCCAGTTGAAAAGACTAATACATTTTTTCCTGGAGAGTGAGGTGAGGAGAATAGCCCCTGCAGTAAGCCCTTAAAATCCAGTGTTGCATATTAAATCAAATCTTGGCTTCCTTTTGAAAGCTATTTCTGGTGGTGAGCTCTGAAATGTTTGGTGCTTGGGATGTTTTCAGTCTCTAGGATGAGTTTTTAATGAAGACTTTTCTGTTCTGTTGTATTAAAACTAATTTACAACTATGCTAATGGAGAGAATCAGTGCTGAAGCAGCTTCTGAAAACAGCCTGAAAGACTAATGCCACTGACGGGGTTTTTTGGTGTGTGTCCATGCCTTTCTTCAGGCAGATATGGGTTGCTGTACCATGGCTCAATGCTGACTAAGAACTGCGTAGTTTTGCTGAGTTTTATCAGCTTAAATGCTGTACTTCACCATTTAGCTTTTGCAGTGGTGCAGACCTATGTCTGGCCGAAGTGTGTCAGGCACAGCAGTTTTGAATCTTTCTGCAAAGAATTTCAGACAGTAAATGTTGTTATGACCAGCAATATAAAAGCAAAACAGTAGTTAGTTTTAAAGAGAATACTTAAATTACAAAGGAAAGTTATCCTAAAAAGACAAAATAAAAGCTTTTTTTCCTGCTTTGTATCAGGCTGGAGACATAGTGTTTAAGTGTTGATTAGCCTCAAAGTAAGTACGGTAGTATACTGTGTGTGACTATATGTGTGAATGACAAAGCTTTGTAATTAGAAAAAGGGAGAGGAACGTATGGAGCTGTATTTCTTTTAATGATGTGTTTGTTTCTATAAGCTTGTGCTTTTAATCCCTAGCTACACAAACATGTTGCATACCTCATAGACAGCTTGTGGGACTGGGCAGGCAAATTCCTGAAGGACTGGGAGTGCATGACCACTCTTCTACTAAAAAATGCTGAAGAAGGTGGAGAAGGTGCGTAAGCAAAGAGCTTAGTTTTGTCTGAATTAATCTCTTGATATTGTTTTTTTTTGAACTTTGCCTCCAGCTAGTTTAGGATCATTCCATATTACAGTACTGTTTGATCCTGAATTGTGGTCCCCCAGGGCCACAAAGCAGATGCAACTCAATGCACTACCGATACGATATTTATATCAACATATTTGTTTTATTCAGTATTCTGTATTTATGTAATGTTGGTTTAGAAACTTTGCAAGAATACTTGCATAATTAAGCTATAATACTTATGGAGCATTCACTTTGTTTGTCCAAAACTTAAGGATCTAAAAGTATTAATTGATTGAAGTGCAATTGTCGGACTGTTGTTCATGCCTGAAAAGAAAATGAGTAATGTGTCTAGTTCATTGACATCTAACACTCTAGAGGATTAGTTTTTTGTAGAATGATTTTAAAGCGAACTGAAATAAATCTTGAAGGTCCCTTCAAACCCAAACCATTCTATGCTTCTATGAATAGTTGTTATGGTAGAACTGGAGGTGGATGCGTGATTGAAATCAAAGTTCGTAGACCCAGTGAGTTAAAGCATTTTGGTACTTGAAAAAGCAGTTTTGTCCTTAATGGAACAGTAGTCAGTAGGAGTAGGCCTCATTAAAACTGGCTGTGTTTTTGGGAGCCCAACTGCCCTAAAAAGTTTAGCCATGAGAGGAATAATTGTTTTTGTGTATAGTAAATATAGGAAATAGTTTACTTCGAATTAAATTCAAGCACTCTCTCGGTGTTTATTTAGCAACACTGCATCTTTCTTTCTGTAGTGTCCTTCCACAGTTGCTCAGATAAATGGATAGGCTTTTCATTAGCTGTTGCTGTATCTTCATTTTTCTTTTGTGTGATGCTGAAAAGGGGCTGATTTACTTACAGAACTGAGTGATGCCCATGAAAGTGCTCTCATTGAAATCATCCTCGCAACGGTTAGAGAAGCAGCTGAAGGTCATCCGCCAGTGGGCAGAGGTGCAGCCAAAAAAGTCAGTGCGTCTTAGTCTTATTTATTGTCCCGTAATCACGTTCTCTTTGCCTTATGTGCTTTGCCAGACAGCGTGTTCCTAGTGGTAGGTATATCTTCAGAAATAAGATGGCTTATTTTTATGAAACGGCACAGTGTCTTTTGACCTCCAGATCCTATTAGTAGTGGATATTGAAGGAGATGAGCATTAGAGGAGAGCTAGCTGAAGCATGTTATTGACAAATTATGAGCATTTTATCAACAAGATATAGCTGTTCAGTGATTTGCATCTAATTTAAGGTTAACAAAAAAATAAAAAAGCATCTGGTTGTCTCCATGGAAAAGTATCTTTATCTTAGCTTTATATGCTTTAGACAAAGGCATGTGAGTTAACCTTGGGTTACATGTAAAATTCCACTCAAATCTAAGAGATTTCATAATTGAAACAAAATGCTTTATCTGCAGATTCTGTCAGTAAAAGAGAAGAAAATACAATTGGAAGATTGTACCAAAATTACTGAACACTTTATTATGGTGCTTCCTCAGCTCTTGGCAAAGGTAACTAACAGCTGCTCTGTGAATGCATATTAAATATTTCATTAAAATTCCTGCAGTGTGCTCATATCCTGTTTTTTCTCTGCAGTATTCAACAGATGCACAAAAAGTGGCAAATCTTCTGCAGATTCCTCAGTATTATGATTTAGACGTTTGCAGTACAGGACATCTAGAGAAGGTGAATAGGAACTGGGGTAGTCGGTTCATGTGGAATGTACTAAATCTATGTGACAATGTATGGAGTTTAGTAGGACCTGGAACAAGTAGGAGACTGTTGAAATATAAGGAAATGGTCTCATGAGTTGAGGAAAGTGGTCTTATTTAGGCTTTACTTTTTGATTTGAGCCTGCCAAAGAAAAGCCTTAGTGCTTGTCAGTTCTGATATGCTGTGACCGGCCCTGGAGGGTAATGATTTGTGGTTTCATGTGGTAGGCCTGGCGCTGGTCTTTTCATTGTTGGGTGGAGAGAGGGTGGGTTATGCCATGTGTCCAAGCTGGTGTCTCCCAGGAGTTTACTACAGAATAGGTTTCATTTTCCTTGAAGACTGACTCCCAGCTGCTGGGGAATGATAATAACTGAAAGATAAGAATGGAGATAGTATATCTGCTGATGGGAGAGGGGTGGTCAGAAATGGATAGATGAAATCCTTGGAATAGCTTAATGTATTCTTAAGCAGGGATGTTTACAGGGAGGTAATGATAGGCGAACACGCCTAGGTTAATTTCAGCACAAAACATTAACTGGAAGAGAGTCAGCAGAATTGCAGAAGTTACCTCCTCTCACTAAGAGTGAAGACCCCAGTTGCTGACGTGATCTGAAACATTCTCCATCTTCTGCTGCTGAGGGATACAACTTCCATTGTTTGAAGACACACCTGTCCTTTGGAAGGGCATTTTTTATTCCCTGTCTTTGTCTTTACTTTTATGTAGCGCTGAATGTGTATTGCTAAAGTAGAACTTAAAGCAGTTATTTCATTCTTTAGAAAGATCCAGAGACTGTAATAATGACAAAGAACTATAAACCCAGAAAAAAAACCCAGTTGTATCCTCTAATCCCACCCCTCTGCTTCTTAGACTAGCCTTTATTTCATATTGGTTGTATGACCTATAGAGATATATGGACCTAGTGATATGTTTCTAAAGCATAAGTGGAATTGTACAATTTACCTATAATAACCTTTTTATCACTTGCAGCATTTGGATGCTTTGCTGAGAGAGGTAAAAGACATTGTGACGAAACACTCTGACATATCTGTCCTTGAGGCTTCCTCCAGGACTTACTATGTCCTCTGCAGTGAAGAAATTGCCATCTACAGCCAGGTGGATCGTGCCCGAACTCAACTGATAGATGAGTTGATGGGACAGCTTAACCAGCTACTAGATGACTTCTGGCAAAGGGTAAGTGTGACTCATTGTGCAGATAAACAGACTGTTTCCCTATGAAAAAAAAAAAATAAAAAAAATTAAGGGGGTTATGGAACTATTCTTAGCCTGCTGTTTCTCTGCTTGAGGGGACCAGAGCTTTCAAAGATGAGTTTGCTCCTCTGAAAAGATTGGTTATATTTTAATGAAGCAGATTTATTTTGGCAGGAATAGAGTGGGGAAAATAATAAACAATGTAGTCCACATCAGCACCAGGGCATTTTATGTCTTCTGAATATTCTGGACCTAAGCTCCATAGTTGCTCCATTACTGTGCCAAAGATACTATGTCCAAGATCAGCTAATAAGTAGTGTGGATATGTAGGTGGTGAGACTGTTCCCCAAAAGGTATAGCTCTGTACTTCTAGATATTTCACTGTACATAAGATGCCCTTTGTTCTGCCACTTTGGCTCTAGAGGTAGTACTAGTCCAAAAAAAAAACCAACAAAACCCAGCAGTCTGTAATGTAGTTTGTATAGCTTTGCGGTCTTTGAAATGATGACTTTCCCCTTGAAGGAGGACTGCAGAGTCTCCCTCAGAGTTTTTCATTAGTTCTAAAAAGCAGAAACAGCTGGTGGTGATATGAATAGCTTGCTGGCTGAACTGAACAACAGAAGCCTGCAGCTGATCTGATCAACTGTGCCGTCATGAACAGGTGTCATGCCGTGGTATGAGAGTTAACACTGGCAGGTTTTTATTGGACACTGGGATATTGTAAAATGTGTCAAGCCAAAAAATCCCCTAACCACAGATTGGATTTATTTTGTTGGTCTTAAATAGATATCTATGTCAATGTGGGAGAATGTGTACTTATGAGAAACAAGATAAGTGCTAGACCAGGGATTCTTCAACTCCTTCATAGTGTGATCCATATCTAAATAAAGAGATTTTCTCCTAGAACCCCTCCCTTCTAATTCCTGGTTGTGTATACCGTCTCCCATAATCACGTAGTATGCTTGTGGAAACTACAGCAATTGCATCTATGGGAAAGTATTTAATATATTTTTAGCTATCTTTGAATGTGATCTGGCAGCTGGAAGCAAGGAGAGTCAGCACCATGTGAACAGTTAGCTTTCCAGAGATCCCTGACAACTGTGTGAGGGACCATGAATGGCCTGTGAGTCCGAGGGTTAGCACTTCTGTGTTAGCCGAATTGCTAGTTTTTACTCTGTGTTAGCAATACTGTATCCTAGGGTGGCTGCCATGGGTTTATTAATGGCAGGGACATTGCTTTACATAAAATTTCTGTGCAGTCAATGTATTGTTTTCTTTTTACTGTAGAGAAAGACATGGGTAGCATGGTTGAAGGTTAAAGGACTGGGGAAGGCTGGAGAAGACTAATTCAAGCCTGTGGGTTGGTTGGGAAGAGAACATAGCAGTTACCTTGCCCCACACTGGCTAATTCCTTTCTCTTTCCCAAACTTGCATAATTTAGGAAGAAGGATTTTGTACGGATGCAGGAGAAATTTCCCGGATGCACTCTGCTTTGAGAAGAGTAGCAGCTTTTCATAAGTGAGATGTTTATTTACACAATTGACTTTCTCATATACTCGAGTGTCAAGTTAACAGATGCAAAGCGAGGATTGCTCTTGTTTGTTGGACTTAATAAGATTTTTCACAAGAGAATGAAAATGATCCCTATGAGAGGTGCTGCAAAGTTTAGTTAGTTCTTAACAGAACTGTACTCTTGGATATGGAATTCTTTTTGGACTTGTTACTGAGGTTGGAGCATCAGACCTAATGTGGCTGAAAGGTGTGTGCTATAGAGTTGGGATGTCAGAGCGGACACAGAGATCCTCTCTGTGCTGCCTCCCTCCTAGCTGGATGCTTTTGCACTGCCTTACCTTTAACACTGGTGATCAGTTTGAAGATGGTATAGTGAATGCAGTCTTTTTTTCCCAGCAGATGTAATCTGCTTTCTTTGTTTGTGTATTTGATTTTCTTTTGGTAAAAGATGGATTTCTCAAAAGCTTGGTTCTCTAGAGATTGTTGACCAAGTAAATTGTCATGCAAAATAGTAGAGGGTGGGGGAATTGGGCTGCCCTCTCAATGTATCTTGTACCTATGCTGCATGCTAGGGCTGCTCTGTTTTTGCAAAGAGAAGTCTAATGTTAAGCTGTGAACACTCAGGAGCATTAGAAACGCTCTTTTAAAGCAGAGTGGGGAAATTGTTCTTTAGATCTTTTTGGGCACCTTTTTGAGAGGGTGGATAGAGTATAGGAAAAGGTACAGAGCTCAAGCTTCTTTTTGCTCTCCTTGTGGCCCTGCAATTTTGTGGTAGGAATGCAGACTATAAAGCTATGGACTAAAGGTTGCAGTGTTATGTCATTAAAAACTTAATTTCATTTTCCCCCCTTATAATTAATAATTAGTTGTGTGAAGTTCTTGCTGTACACCCGATGAAGGCAAAAACAGGATACATTTAACCTGTTTGGTCAGGTGAGATTTCATTTCTTGCTTAGAGTATCATTATTGTTTCTTTTTCACTTGCAGTGCCCATGATCTCACCAAGTGGAATCTGTATGATAAGACTTTAAGGTTGCTGGTGTTTGAAATGGAACACGGGAGTTTGCCTGTTCTGGTGAGTTGTTAATATTTAACATTGAAAGAGGTTTTTCTTGTTGAAAGCAGGAAAATTAGGAAATATTAAATAATCTTATATATTAATGTCATATGAGACAGGAAGATACTGTTTCTCATTCTGGGAAACCGAGGCTGTCTTTGGTATAACATTATTGGAATTGGTAAATTCATGCCATGGATTCATTTATTCTGGAGGTTCTCCAAAGCTATGATAGAGTAATCATTGACATCTGGATTGATCCATTGTCATGCTCAGTACTTCCCATTGATTGCACAGTTTTGCTCGCAGTACATATGAAATTGTGGGGTCTGTGAGGAGCCCCTTATAGATTGCATGTAACCAGAAATTGGAGTCCTTTGGATCTGTTGCTTGCGGATTGACTCTTGGTGAAAGTAGCTTGTAATTGCCAGTTGTCTCAGCTGCAGCCTTTTGGTTGTCTGGTTGCCTCAACTCAAACATTGGCTGTGCCAAGATGGAGGTATATCCTAGGGTTATGAGGTGAAGTACTCTCAGTCATGGATGTTAATCAGCCTCTGTTTTCAGGAGAGAACCTGGGGTTATTTGGAAAGGGATGAAATTTAGCTGGATAGAGAGAGCCTGCAGCCAGTGGTTAGAGGTGGACTCCTTTATATGGAGCATCAGAGCACCAAGATTTGGCTTCTGCTCTGAATTGCCCTCTGGAGGAGTCTGCCTTTCACCAAAGACTGCAGAGAAATTCTAGGCAGCTAAGCTAACGTTAGCCTCTGGGAACACTTTTTAGTACATGGTTTCTTTCCATTGAACTCACCAAGATGTCAGAGTTCTGCAGAAGCAGCACCTTGGTAATGAAGTTTATCAGGAGGCAACATTTGCTTGTATGTAAACCTATTATGTTTATTTTGAGGGTCTAAATACTTCACAGTGCAGAAATGGTCTTGCAAACAGGATGCAGAATGTCAGGCTTCGATGCTTTGTTTAGTCCTAAGCTGTTGAGCCTTTCATGTAAATAAAGGACATATGTTTTTGTTTGCAGGTGATCCTGCCAGCTCTCCAGTGCACGTATTTTTCTCTCCTGTGGAAACTAGCTGCAGTTTCAGAAAATCCTCCTAAGGTGGGCCACTCCATGTAATTTTGAAATCCAGAGTTGTGCTTCTAGAAGCACAAATTTCTTTTCTGTTCTCTGATCGCCAGAAAAAAACAAGCTTTCTTAAGAAGATAATTTGTGTGTTTTCTTGGGGAAACCAAATTGAGTTGAGGCATTTTCTCTCTGTCTTGCCCTCTTTTTTTTTTTTTTTTAAGTGTTTATGCTTTTTCAGTTTGCAAGAGAATAAGTGAACAGTGGTTCACCTCTATTTTTACCGCAAAACATGTGCAATGAATTCCTAGGGCTTGATGGAGTTAAGGAACTTGTTCCACTGCCAAACAGTTTGTTATTTTCTTCTTTTAAGCAAAAAAGAATATTAAATGAAAAGTCCAGGGAGTCCTGTTGCTTTGTTTTGTTTTTATATTCTTGTTTTACGTACATATTTCTGTCAGAAGTTTTGAGGAAACCGGTAATTTTCTCATCAGCTGACTACTTACTTTCTTAATTGTTTTTATATAGTGCCAAGCTCTGCCAGGTATTTCAGAAGACAGTCAAGACACTAGAGAGGAAAACTCTTTTATGCTTTGGTTCACATGTAAACATGTTCCTGTGCAGCCCCTCTTTATGGTGATTTCTGATTTCAGCTGAGTGCTGCTGCTTCTGTCATTCTGTCCCCTTCCCCTGGTTCTCCTGTGTGTACAGAACAGGACGCTGACGTGGACATTTGTTTTGTGTGAGAAATGCTAGGAGGGAGGTTACCCATTTGGTGACTGATTCACCATCTATTCCCGTCCTGTTCCATTCCTATGTAGATGTCCGCATCTCTCACTGCTCTAGTATGTTCTGCCTTTCAGTCCAGACGTGGTTAGCTTGACTGATAATGGGGCAGCACTTTTTTTTAATTTGGCCTTTCATATGGGAGCAGATTTCAATTGGAAGGACAATGTTATGGCCCACTCCGCAGGGCCAAATCTGGATGTTGGCAGAGACAGAGGCTCCAAGAGCAGAAAAGAACATTTCCTGGACAGCAGCTCTAGGGCTGTTTCTCTCCCCTACCTCCTCCAACAGTGTTAAGGCAATGTTTTGCCTCTCCCTCTGCTTCTCAGCGTGCTCTGGGATGGATCCCCTTTCTTATAAAGATACAGTTGCATAGCATGGTATCCAGCCTTCCTCTAAGGGCGTTCCTCTTCTATTGGCTGCTCAAAGCTCAGTGCAGTGCAACAGCTGGGACCTGATGAAGGATCAGAAAGTCTTTTATGTGGCTGTGGGCAAATCAAATAGTCTGTTGCTGGATTAATCTTAACAAATAGAGGTGGTAAGAAACACTCAGAAACAAATAGAAGTTTCTGAGTGCCGAAGTTAGCAGTGTTGTGAAACTGTGTTCCCTCTGTAGCCCATGGAGGGAGAGAGAAGAGCAATTCCGGAACGCAGTTCACATTGAAAATTAGGTAGGATGGACTAGATTTTTTATGACTCTACTTGCATCTCTAAAGTGGAAATCATTCTCACTGCTTTATAAGGATAAGCTGAAGTGAATAAAGGAATACATGCTATTAGAGCTGCCCATCCTACAGATGGAGAAACAAAGAGTTTGTGACTTGCTGAATACCATTAGCCTCAGCAAGAGTGACAGATGCACATGTCCTACTAGTGTTTGTCACATTTCTGCACCAGAGTAGGGGGGGAAGTATATAATTTTATGGATTGACCTTTCTATTCCAGGTGCTGTGCCTGAAAGCAAAACGTGATTTTAAAGTTGTTCATAGCTAGTGAGCTGTTGCTACTGGGAGATGTCAGCTTCTTTTATAATGTCATCAACTGTGCTGTCTTAAATGAATAATATCAGTGGAAGAAAGATGTAACTGTTGTTTGTTCTGTAATTCTGTATTCAATCATAGTCCCTAACATATTTGTCCTGTCACTTTTCCTAAATATGTTTTTAGGAGACTCTTTTTGCACTAGGAAGAGAGCTGAGACATTTCAGTCAGATTTGCATGTGCTTCCTCCACCATAAGGAAGAAGATGTAAGAGAAAAGGTTTGTGTTTCTCTGCCACTTGACTGGTGTTCATTCTCAGTCCTCCTTTTAAATGCCTGCCTTTCTTTTCATACTAAGTATTTCCTTCTATTGATTTTTGCTATTTTCTGTTTCTTAGCAGAGAAATAACTCTTTAAAACAGTAATCTTCAACTATTTATCTTAAAGGAAAATGACAGTTATGTTAGTTAAAATACTACAAAAGTCAGTGCTTTAATCAAGTGTAGGTATGTGTCTGCTTGCGTCCATGTGCAGAATCAAGGCCTGAATCTGAATGACTCAATTTGCCGGTTGATAATCATTGTACTTTCAGATTAGACTGGTCAGTGTACTGGTTGCTATCATTGCTTTATTAATGCCTTGCTATGACTATTACTTAAAAAATTAAAAAAAAAAGGGAGAAATAGTCCAATGATTCATGTGTTAAAGGAGAGATATTCTAGCATAACAGAGCTCTTCTTCCTTCCCATGGAAGTTTCAAAATCTTTAGGTGGTGTGCATGTATGATTCTTGTACCTTAGGATACAGTATATACAAGTTCTGGGAGCGCTTAGCTGTGGCGTTTTACCACATGCTGGGGCAAACAGAAATCTTTAGCTTGCAAGCAAGAAGTGGGATAGAAGCTAGATTGTGACTTGTGGTGTTTGATGGACATGCAAAGTGAAGCTGGGATGAAAAGTAATGTGGTCTCTAAATCCTTCTTTGGCTTTGCTTGATACAGGCATTCATGATTCTCTGTGACTGGTTGCTGATTTTGAGTCATCAGGATTCAAATAATAACGAAGAAGCAGTCGGACTTCTAGATTATCTTCCTAGCACATCACTTCAGGAAAAACTCCTTTTGTTCATCCAGGAACATGTTTTCGTGGAGGAAGAAGAGGAAAGCAAAGGTTAGACATCCTCATCACTAGGGAAACAATCTACCACTTTTGCTGTCATTTGTTGTCTGCACTGAACATATCAGGAAAAGGGACTGGTCTTTTTTTTGTTTGTTTGTTTCTTTTTTTGTTGGGCCCCTTTACAAACAAAGTGGCTGACCTGTTATTCATTGATCTGTATCCACTGTGGATCAGTCATGGGAAATAGCTGCCAGTTTACTTGTAGGATGAAAAGGGCTGATGTAATGCAGGGATGGGTGAGAATGTAAAAGCATTTTGCAGTGGTACAGGTGATGGTCTTGGAGGAAGGCCTTGTAGTGTTACAGTGTGACTCTGTCAATGCACGGACATTTCTAAGCCATCAGAGTGAAGGACTAGTGGATTCTGATTTGGGGGGTGTGGGGCAGATTTAATGGGAAATATCGGTGTACTGGTGGCTCTGTTGCCTTTTTCAAACACATTCAGATGCCATATTGAGGCAGTTGTTTTGAAGGTTGTTTTCTTTTGGGAGTGTTTTGAAAATAGATTGTTAGCTCATTGTGGTTTTGAGGCTGAGTTCAAGTGTCATGCTTTGAAAAACCAAGCATTGCTCTAGATTACTGTGTCAAACTCTTGTCCTTCAGCTGTTTAGGTGGAGTTCTGTGTTCAGTTTTGGGCACCACATTTCTCCATGTCACAGTGTATATGCAAGAAATGATCGGCCTAATTTGCGACAGGGAGATAATCCTTATTGATAAAGGTAGAGATACAATAGAAAAGATTGTTCAAGTAGGTTGTAGTATCTAGTCGTGGGAGTTTTTGAAGCAGGTTATGTTTCAGGTTGCATAATTTATGTATTTGAAACTGATAAAATTGATCCTGTTTTAGGTTGGGTGGCCTGAGATCTGTTTCAAACCCAGTTTATATGATGCTTTCTATTTCTCGGTCCTCCCCACAAAGGATCCCTGTCATCCCATTGCAGAGTCCTTCCTGGATGAGTGATTCTGTAATGCTGTGGGTGTGCTTGTCATTGCGCACAGCTGGCAGCTGCTCCAGTTTAGTTTTAACTCTAATTTGCAGATACTTCTGATCAGTCACTTGCCTTATGTTTGTTTCCAGGCCCACAGTCAAGCTAGAAGTGTAAATAGTCCACATCAAATGTATAGGTCAAAGACTGAAGCCTTTTGGTAGTTGGTAGATGCAGTTGGTAGATTGGATTTGCAGTAGGAAAGAGGGTATCTCAGCTCTCCTGAGCTCTCCTGCTGCAAGAAGTTCTCCCCAAGCACCTTCGTAGCTGCATTGGAAGACTCTTAAGAGTATTTGTTTTCCACAAGTTAACCAGTTAACAAGTTAACCCATATTCCAGAGATTTATTATGTTCTTAATGATATGAAATTACTTTTTTCTTTCGCTCTTGTTGATAACCACTTGGAGAGTTTCACCTGAACTTTTCTCTTGTTGACTGTGTATGGCAACATTTTAGGGTTTTGATGGTGTTTTTCTAGCATCTGTGTTATTCTAAGAAAAAAAACAACACATGCTTACAATTTGTCTGGTCTTCCATTTGGTGTGTTTGTGCTTTTTATTCTGCGCTCTGTTTGGTTCTGTTCTGTAGCTGTGAGCAGTATTGTACAAGGAGATTCTGACTAGTAGAAATGCAAAAGCCCTATGAAGATCAGAGTAGAAGATTGCAAATAACTCATTTTCACTGTCATCAGTTGCAGGCTTTGAAATGGAAATAACCCTGTGTTTTCTGATATACACAGAAATCAGCTCTAGCATCTGTTGCTTAGCGTGTTGACTGAACAACTGAGTCTGTGTTATTTGGATGAAAGTTGGTCATTAAAATTGAGATATCTGGAACAAAGTAGTACAACAAAGCTTCAATACTTTTGTTTCCCTAGACCTGACAGAAGAGGAGGAGAGAAAGAACGAAAGTTGCAAACTTGACGACTTGCACAAAAAGCGGAGTCTTCTTGCAGCATATTGCAAGTTAGTAGTGTATAATGTGGTAGAGATGACTGCGGCTGCTGAGATCTATAAGCATTATGTCAAGGTAATGTTTTAGATAAGGTTGCTTTGCCTATCTGTGCATTTTAGGTTTTGAAAGTGACTCCAGTGTTTGTGAAAGATGTGGAGTTAATAGTGTTATGGCTAAGAATCCTTGTATAATCACAAAAGGGTTATAAAATCAAGGACAAATCAGACAAAGCTGTCCTCTTGGCTCTGCAAAGGTACCTTGCTGCAGACAAAGTAACTGAAAATTGAGTAGAGGGTATGCCTGTCTGAACATCTGCTCCTCAAGTTCTCCGGAGAGGCCATTGCAGAGAAGCAGTTTATGGTTGGGAGAGTGTTTTAACTGTAGAGATTCTCACATTCGAGTGGTTAATTTATACAGCTCACACAGTCCATATGCAGATGGCCTAGATTTCACGTGGGTCCTGGCTTAGACGACTGGTAGAGCTTCAGCCACTCTGAAGTGGGTTTCAAGAGGGCCGAAAACAGCACAGAGTGGGCATTTGCCTTGAGTGAACTAACAAGACTTTGGAAATACCTGAATATGGATCTTGTTCTTTACTTCCCTGGGCCCAAGGCAAGCACTGGTTGAATACAGAAAACTCTCTATTTCTCTCCGGAGTAAGCTTCATTCTTTTGCTATAATAAATACTTAACATTTTCAGTGGAGCTTTAATCCTCACATTACTATTAAAGAAGCATACCATTGCTTTACATATGAAATTATATAAAAAGTCCAGTTTTCATCTCTTAGCTTGAATGTTCTGATATTGAGAGTGTTTTATGAACTTCTTGTGTGACATGAACAGAATCATGTGTTTTGTGTACTCTCAGTGCTAAAGAAGGGGAATGATAATTCTCATGTGTTTTGTTGCTGTTAATAGACCTACAATGATTTTGGAGACATAATTAAAGAAACGTTAAGCAGGACCAGGCACAATAACAAAATTCAGAGTGCCAAGACACTGATTCTCTGTCTGCAGCAGGTAAGGTTAAGATTAAAGCAAGAGGCTAGTGGCTTTTATGACAGCTGTATTCATATTGATATCTTTTACCTACCTTGCCATAATTATTCAAATTCATTCAAACATCTAGCAGAAGAAATTGTTTCCTTGACTGCACTTTCTAGGTGTATGTTGGTTTTGCTGTTGGTAATTAAAATTCCTTTCAAATCATTACATCTGTTTTAAAATGCAATTTTGTGCACGATTTTTTTGTCTTATTTTTAACCTTCAAAGGCATAGTGTATTAGGATTGATGTGAGATTACAGACTGTTTCTTGGGACATGGTAGCTGTCTCTTAACCTTAACGAAGGTTAAGTATATTGTTCTGTGTTTATGGACTACCTCAATTCCTGTTGAATTTGAAGAACCACAAATGTGTCTGTTGCTGGCCAGCTCTAATCCCCAGTATTTTCAGTATTTTTTTCTGGAAGAAAGTGGAGTGCAGCTCTTCTGAAGGGTCTCAGTTGCTGGGGCTTGCAGCTGCTGACTGATGGGGCCAGTTAGCTATTTTAGCAGCTGCTTTTGCCGGCTCTGCCCATGACCAGAGCTGCTTCTAGCTTGGAGTCGTGCTGCAAGCCACGGAGCAGGCTCCTCCCAGGGGGTGCTGATACATGAGCTTTGCTTATTTCACATACATTGCCAGGGGCTTAAATCTGTGAACTAGCCCCTGAAATCTGAGCCTAGATTAGGCTAAGCAGTATTTGGCCACATATATTCTGCTGACATAGTCAGGACTTTGTGTTTAGGTATCACATAGACAACAGGCCCTTTTTGGCCACTGCTTGACCTTGAGAGTTAACAGGTTGAAGGGAACAAGCTACCTCCATGTTCTGTCAGGAAAAAAAAAACAAACGTAGTTAATTTGGCTCGAGATTTGCTTTTGACCCAGTCTCACTCTCAGAAACGGGATTATGCTGCTGCCAAACTTGCTGCCTTATGCCTGCATTCTGATATTCTGAAATCCCCTCAGGCAAATTAGGCCTCTTGAGCTTGTTTCAGAAGTCTCAACATGAGATGGGGTCAGTGGCGGTATTGTCTGCAGGAATCAGTTCTCTGTGTATGCACATCACTTTTTATTTGTTTAGTTTTAATTTGTGCCTATCTGTTAAGCACAAGTGTCCTTTGTATCAGTTCTTCCTTGTTCTGGATGTGTGCTTCTGAAGGACATAACTTACCTGCTCTTTTGTAAGGCTTCTCTCTGTGTAAACCAACCATTGCTTGCTGTGTATGTCTCTGTGTCCTCCCGGTGTTTTGTTTGCCTGTAGGATTACATATGGTTGCTTATCTAAGACTTCTTTTGCAGCTGTTTCAGAGACACGTAGAAAGCCAAGACAGCAGTAGCAGTGCGGACTTCTCCTCTGCTTCCTTCACAAATATGAAAGAACTTGCTCGTCGCTTTTCACTAACGTTTGGCTGGGACCAGGTGAAATCTAGAGAATCTGTAGCTATGATACACAAGTATGTGCCACGTAACATCACTTTGTCCACAGTCACTGTTTTTGTTAGTTGTCTGTTTTATTGTTCTGTTCTCTATTTTTTTTCTTCCACTAGGGAAGGGATTGAATTTGCTTTTCAAGGAGCTACTGGAGTAGATGGAAAATGCTTGCCTCCTAACTTGACCTTTCTGGCAATCATCAGTGAATTTTCCAACAAGCTGCTAAAGCCTGACAAAAGACTAGTGTAAGTTAAGTTCTTGTACAGTCATACACAGTTTGTGTTTTGTGTATCCCTGTACATGGGACACTTGACCTTCATTGTTGCAGAAGTTTCTCAAGGGCTTTTCAGAGAAATTTTGAAATCAATCTGCCCCTAAGACTGTTAGTTTGAGAGACAGTTGTTGAATTTTGTAGTAGTTCTTTCAGATTGTATGTGCAGTATGCATTCTAGATCTTTTTTAGATATAGCTGTGGCCCCATGTGGCAATTCTTCTAAGGGAAAGACAATGTTAACTAGGTGGAAGAGGTTTGCGACTTGACTGGCTCGTGGAGTGCCAGGAATGCTTTTCTGAATAGAAAAGTAAAGCAGAAAAGATTGAGGAAGAGGTAATGCCTGGATCATTATTTGGTAATGATCTAATTACATAGCTTCGGGACTGAATTATATCAGCTCCATCGAAGGTATTTGGAATAGAAGCATACATGACACTGTTCATAATGGAGAAATTTAAATTCAAGAATTTACTATTTACAGGGGAATATGTCCTGATCCAGTTGGGCCCCTGTGTTTAACAGTGGTTTAAATATTTACATTTAATAATATAAGAGCGATAGCTTTATTTTGGCATCATGGGACATTACACATCTGAACAGAAATACATATGATTGTGCCTCTTATTGCCGCCTGCACCTGCCTTGACTCCAGTGATTTTTGGGAAGGAAGTAATGTTCTTCCTTCTATTTGACCTTCCTTCTATTTGCTGCTTATTTTGGATCTGGATCTCTGCGCTTCAGTCTTCTATTTACAGATACTGTAAAAACTATTGCAAAATATGTAACAGCTCATTTTGCTGAGAGCATATATGAAGACATGGGAATGTAAGATGAAACATTAAGACACATCTGCCTTTTAGAGCTTATGAGAAAATCACTCCAGTACCTGACAGGAAATCTTACACTTTGGAGAAAAAGTCAGCAGAAATGGAAGAACAACCCAACAGCTACATCTTGCTGAGCTCTGTGTAACTTTTTTTCTCCTGTGTCATTTTGTCTTAAATTGGAGGTTAACTTCCATTGGGAATCATCAGCCAGTTTTTATATAACATGGGTTAAGAGTGGTAAAATGTCTATTTTTCTGTTACTTTATGTGACAAATACAATTTATTAACGATTCCCAGCTACCCAGACAATATATTTAAAAAAATGAATTCAAACGCAAAATACAGATGAAAAATATTTGACATATACTGATTGAGGCACTGGAACAGGTTTCCCAGAGAGGTAGAAGTGTTCAAGGCCAGGCTGGATGGGGCTTTGAGCAACCTGGTCTAGTGGGAGGTGTCCCTGCCCATGGCAGGGGGGTTGGATCTAGATGATCTTTAGGGTCCCTTCCAACCTAAACCATTCTATGATTACAATTCCTGGTAAATCTAAAGTGAATAATCTATGGGTAGCACTAATTTCCTTTTCTGTTCTTGCATTTTTCTCAGAGAGAATCTTTGAGATCTATGACTGGAATTGGTTTTCTACGGTTTCTATACAACTCTGTCTGTGTTGTCTGGATATCATCTGTGTGGTGACACTTGTGCAATAAGTAGATTTCTGTTAATCCATCCTTGAAAAACTTTGTCATTTCACTTGCCTCCAAGGAGTACTTTTTAACTAAACAAGAGGAAAATATGTCATCATTAATGTGGGCAGATTTAAAGCTAAGTCCTGATGATTTTTTTCCTAGGGTTATATTTAACTTCTTGACCAGTGGTTATATACCAGAAGTATATTCCTGAATGTATTAGATACATTCAGGTAGGTTTATTCATTGAAAGCTTTTTGTGTGAAATACAGAGCCTAGCGAGGAATGCTCTTTGACTTCAGTTCTTACCGCTTTGGACCCTCCCACTGCTGCTGGGAACAAATGGGAAACAATAAAATCCACAAGGGGGGAAATTGCAATTTCATCTACAACTACATTCAGACTGTGTTTCTAGAGTAACAGTTTCTATTCTGGGAGGCCTAAAATGCCTTGCAGGGGCTGGAGATTATATTTCCTCTTAGAAATATTTAGGTTTAGCTCCATCATAAATTACTAGATGGAATGTTTTAGGTCAACATGAACTTTTAGAAATAAACATCTGGTTATTTTCATTTTTATTATTAATCATAGGATTGATGTCCAGGTCTGTATGCTAACATATGTGAATGTACCTGTAACAGATGAGATACAGAATATGGGCATTTGTTAGAAACGAGTATATTTCAACACCATCAAAGTATATGGATTTTAACCTCCTCCCCTGTAATTGCCCAGGTCATAGCAGTAAAATATCTGACTTGTCAGTTGCTCTGTGCCACAAAATGCACACAAGAAATGAATTATTGAATAACAAGCAGCATAAAGGGCCTGATTCCTGAAGCAGTAGGAGTCTTTCCATTGACATTGATAGCAGTTGGATTAGACCCTAAACCAGTAGTTACAATACATGCTTGTTCAAAACCAACAAATTCCATTACCAGGGTTTCTTGATCCCTGGGGCCCGCGGGGTCCATGACTTTAATTGTTTCGGAGTCGGTGCTTACACTAACCTCCTCCCAGCACCGGTTTTCTTGTTTTGCAAAGCAAATGAAATGTCTGATATTTTCCAGGCCACACTCCTAATCAAAGAAAGAATAATATACTGTACAGGCTGGCGTTAAAACTGTCACTTCTGGTATTTGCTAAGGTGGGGTCTGTTTTAACAACACTGGGCTTGATTTTAAACTGATGAGCTGTAGCTGAAATGTAGTGAATAGCCAGTTTCTAATCCTGAGTCAGACTTTGGTTTTCTTTTCTTATTGTTATAAGTAGGAATGGGTCAGAAAGACTTTGTCAGAAATGTCCTCTTTTTCAAAAAGAATGTTTGAAGCAGACCTCTTTGCTCCAGGAAAGGTGACAGCTTCACCTGGGATTCAGGGAGGCCCCGTGTCAGGTCTCGGGATTGAATCAGGCAGAAAACGGGGATTTGAACCAATGCTTGCCACTTCCTGTGTGTTGTCATAACTGCAGAGCTGTTAACTGCTTCTTGCAGACACTTTAAATTTTATTGGGAATGTGAGAGAATTGGATTGAGTTTCAGATGAAAGTATAGAAAAGTGGTCTTATTGGTTCTTAGGTTTGGGTATTTTTTAAATTTTGACAAAACAGGCACTCATAGCCTAAATACCCCATGTCCTGACCTGCTGTACTATAGAATCACAGGGACCATCTCTTGCCTGGGATCTCCTTTGCAGAGAATGGCCACCAGGAGAAGGGGTGCATCCTCGCAGAGCTCTGCTCTGTTCAGACTGCTCCTGGCAGCAGCAAATGGCAGAAACTTCTCCTGCACAGGAAGTTTTTTCTAAAAACTGACATGATTCTGTAATTCCTGTGGATCTAGTGTTGTTTCTAATGCTAAAATTCAAGCACTCTTTCAGCTTTGAAGGCATTTGCATTTTATGTATTTAGATATTTCAGAGGTGTCAGATATTTCTGAGAAAAGAGACGCCCATTCTTTTTCTTTGACAGTTCTTTCTGCCCCTTTGGAGGGTAAAGAGAAAATGCCTTTCTGGCAATACCTTCCCTAGATATTAAGGGGAAAGGCACTGAATTTTCTTATGCTTGCTTTTGGTCTTCTCCAGGTACGCTTACTTACAGAGGTATATAGCAGAACCACTGCCTTGCAGAGGAGACGAATGGCAGCCGCTGATTTGGTACAGAAACTCTTTACTGGCAAACGAAGACGAGGAGAGCTCTGCCCTCGGCAGTTCAGGAGAGTGGTCCCCTGTGGGCACGTCTAAGGTGTCTTCTTTTAAAAGGAAATTGTCTAATGGTATGAAAACTTCCCTGTTCTGGATCAGCTGTATTTGCTTTGTCCCAGTTAAAATGCACTTCCTGCTTTGCATTAGCAGTACTGCAGCGTGTTGGATGTTGTGGACGTTCCAGTTTGAACTGTGGCTTTCACCTTCGGCTTTGTTGTTGTTAAAGGTCTCTTCATCATTCAATAGCAGTAAGGTTGGTCTGGAGACTTTGAGTGAGCTGAATTCAGGTAATCTTGAATCCGTCTCTGTACTGAGCTCTGGCATTTGTTTGTGCCATTGAGACTTGGTGCATTGCTTTCAGTTGGTGAGTTAAGGACGTTGTTGCTTTAGGCCCTGTAGATAATTGAGACAGGAGAGGTTTTTCCAGAAGTTGATTCAGATCTTCAGCCCAGGTGATCTGGACCAAATAATCTTCTGGGGTCTTTCTTGCTGTTGAATTGCTAGGGAGCCTGTAGGATTATACTGCTAGCTTAAAGAGTTGTAGATAGGTGGGCTGGATCCAGGCTTTAGCAGCTCTCATGGACTTCCAATCTGTAATGAGGTATTCAGTGCTCGGATATGATAGGACTTAGTTAAATGTAGTAAAGCCAATATGAAAGCAATTGCCAGTAATAATGCTAAGTGCTATGGACATGTGCAGTTGTATGTGGAGGAAAGGGAATTTTTCTAGAATGTCCTTTAGTTTCTTTCTCATCCTTTCTCAGTGACCTGCCTTCAGAAACCTTGTTCCTTTGTGTCCCAAAGGCCCTCCTTTCTTGAGGGTTATACAGACTCAGCAGTACTGATAGCACTTGTGGACCGGGACCACAATCATAAATCTAGATTGCAAAAATGACCAGTGGGCAAAGTAAATTAATTTTCTTTTATGTGGCTTTTAGCTGGTTCCTTCAATTAAAGAACGCTTTGCTCCAAATCTCCCTTTGAGCTTGGCCCCTCGTTGCTTCACTGCTGTGGGGAATGTGTTGGAACTGTCCATCTCAAGGCCTTTGAGAGTGAGGCTGGAGAACAAGTCTATTCATTGTCTGTTCCAGGGTCTTTGCCTGAAACCAGCCAGACTGAAGCAGCAAGCAAAGCTCCGGACCTGCAGCGTGCTTCGCAGCTTGCCTCTGCAGCAGGGAAAAGCAGAAAGAGGCTAAAATCTCGAGAGGTGCACTTGCAGGAACATTTGCCATTCCTTTGTCCAGGAGGGCTGCGGAGAAGATACTGGTGAGAGTTTTATGTCTTACAAGCTCCTTCACTTGTCCTGGTATTGACAGCTGGGGTCTCTCTCTCCACCTTTGCTTCTGTTTTTTGTGAGACTTCATAGGCAAAGGGCAGAGGGAGTGCGCCCTTCCTGTCTTTCTTATGGGCTCTGTTCCAAGGACAGGTTGTAGTTTTGGTTTCCTCGATCCAATATCTGCATTTGCTGCTTTAGTCTGATTGTCCCCTGCTGTCACAGGGCTTCTGTGCCTTCTTGAACTAACATCGAGTGTGCAGAGAAAAAGAAAAGGAAGGAGGAGGGTTCCCTGTCCCACTTCTCTTCTCTCATCTTGTGATGAGTGTTTTCTGCATCTCTGGAAATGAAAGAGGACTCTTGTCTCTGCAAATCTGCTATGAACTACTGTGCAACTGGTGACTTTCTTTTAGAGAGGAGCATGTCTGTGTGCAGCATGCACACGCGCCTGAGTAAAACCCCACAGAACTTGGATGTAAAGAGAGGTATTGTAGAAATAGGGAGTCTGGAGTCTACTTTTGAGCTCTGTGAAGCACTTGGAGTGCTCAGTTGCGATATTTTTCTTTAACAAATGTCATTTATTGAGTTGTTAGGTGCCATTTCCCAGATTGGTAAGTTAAAGGATGAAACACAAATCCCAGAAAGATGCATGCTTTTCCAGGTTTTGGGACACTGGTTGAATGGACCTGGTGAATACAAGTAAAATGCAACAAAAATTTATTAGACGTGTAGTTGATTACAGATCCAGCCCCTTTTTAAATGAACTCTCATTTCTGAACTGCTTTATTGGAAATTCCTCAGAGCATAACCTCTTTCATACCTGGGAAATACTGGGCCAGAAACTTTGGGCTACCTTACGTGGATATCTCAGCAGCAGGTCTTGATATGGGAACTACTCTGCCTTAAGCAGACTTGTGCAATGTGCAACCTGTTATAAAGTTTCTCAAGACTTAGCTTTTTCTTTTTTTTTTCAGCAAAGATGAGATTAAGACAGAAGATGTCTCAGAAGAGGGTCAAGCAGAAGACGTCACTGAAGATGTTGATGTTGATGTGGTTGGTGCAGACCAGGTAATTGCGGCTCGGGTTTTCCAGCTCTGAGGACAGCTGTTGTTGAGGTGGGTGAATGTGAGTTCAGGATCCCATGTGTACCCATCTAGCAGCAAAGGGGCTGCTCTTTTGTGGCCCCTTCCAGACTGAGAAAAGGGGTTCTCCCCTCTTCCCTTTTTAGCTGCAGCGGTAGTCTCCTCCTTCAGCTTGATCTGCATTTTTAAGGCGATTCTTATTGCAGGATCTAGGCATCCTTAGGTACATTGAACAAAAGCTAGGGTGTGTTAAAAGGAGGATCCAGTTTCCTTTTTTCCCATACTGTGAAGTTCTTTACTTAAGAGCCATTTGCTGTGGTTGCTTCATGTTACTGACACATTGCAGAGATGTCACTGCTGCATGACCCGCAGGGAATGTCTGCTTCAAAAATGGTGTTTGCGTTGTGCGCTTTAGATCGAAAGACTCAGAATGTGTCTGATCACTGGTCAGCCCAGGGCTCTTGCTGGAGTGTCCCTGGTTTCCTGTCCTTTTCCAGTCAAGGCTGATGGGGAAATTAAATTGTCCCCAAACCAGGTGGGGATTTGAAGGGAAGCATGCGAACGCTGGGGGCTTGGAGTGGCAGCCAGCGTAGCCTGGGGGTTGTCTTGTGGGCATCGATTGCCTTTGGGATCAGATAATAGTTTGGCAAAACTGCAGCTGTCTGCCTGGGTCTCAGCTCAGCCCTGGAATGGATATTTGCTGCAGGGAAGAACTTCTAGCCCTTAGGGACAGTGGAGCGCAAGGACACCAGGGGTCTTGCAGCAGTGATTGTACTGAAAGCGCAGAAAAAAAATAATAAAGAGGCCACAAGGTTTCCTGTGCTGCAGCCTATGACAACCCTTCCGTCCTTTAAGGGTTTGCTGTGGCAGCCATTGCAAGGGGCTGAGTGGTTCCTTCAGGTTTTTCTCCTGTATTTGCCCCCGCTCTCTGAACTTCTAATACAATGTAAACCCAGTGTTCGGCAGAGTTTTTTTGCAGTGATTGAGGCACTTCATTTCCAGTGGCTCTGGTTATCTGGGATCCAAGAGCCACATTTGAAGACCTTGTCTCATTTTTGACTTTTAAAATGAGTTTTTCCTGTAAAGTTGAACGAATGGTTTCTTTCCATATTTGAGTGGTGGGTTTTTGTTTTTTTTTTTAAAGAGGACTAGAAGGAAAAAGGGACTTCTACCTTTTCTTCCAGACATGGAAAATGCCCTTTAAAATGTAGACTATTTGTTTGCACCATATGCTTGGAGCAGCTCCTGTTGAAGATAGGTAATAAAAGAACTTATATCTGTAGACCAAGATTGAAGCCATACACAAAATGCACTACTCATCTAGTATGTGGCCTTTCCATATAGTGTCTTTTCTGGGCTCCTTGTGATATAGAAATGCTTCTTTCCTTTTGTGGAAGCTCAGCAGAGTGCTTGCCACAAGCCAGCTATGGCCAAGCTGCTAAATGGTGAGAGGCTACGCTTTTATTCTGATTCCTTATGTGCTTTTATATGATGTTTTCTTGATAGTATGAGACTGACTTAATCTTGCTTTCTTCTGGTATAGGATAGTTAAGAGGCTGAGAGGATAAAGGGAAGTGAAGAACATGCTACCATTTTTTTCTGCAAATTGTTTAACTGAAAATGGGGTTGTGATGGCATCAACCAAGGCGGCAGGAGATATGGATCAAGTCAAATCTCTGCCTGTAGGCATCCACCCAGAACCAGTTAGGTACTAGCACTGTGGCTGATTTCTCCACATTGCTGTTCGTGGTGTCACTGATTTGGCTGTTGTGCTTCTGAGGTTGTGGGAGTTATGGACATCATTACTCAACTGCATCCTCGTCCTTGATGCTGTCTCGGAACAATTCCCAACCTAAGGATTGGAATCAAGGTATTGACGAATGTTGAGTCAAAGACTCTGTAAACTACATGAGACAAGCTTGCTCAAGTCAGCGCAGGGGCACTATTCTGCTGGACGTATTCTTCACCATTTGCAGTAACGAAGAATGGATATCTACTTTTTTCCTCATACCTGACTCTGGGGAGAAAGGAGCCTGGCCCAGCTGTGAACGCTGTGACCTGCTGGGTGATGGCAGGTGACTTGGCAGTGCCCTTTCCTGTCTGTAAAGTGGAAAACCTGGATCAAATTGTCTGAAAGTATTTCTAAATTCCAGTGCTTACAGAGACGTGTTTAGCGCTCTGTGGTGATCAGGACGTGGTTCCAGGAGACTTGAATCAAGGCTTCTGAGTAGCAAAGAAGGAAACAGTGGACCAGTTGACTGAGTATTTTCCTCTGGAAGAAATCCTTCCTACACACTGATCATGTGGTGTTTACTTGGAAAATATAAAGCTTGAAAAGACAATGTAAATAGACTGCAAACATGGCCCTTCAACAGCAGGTTTTCCATTAAGAATTTGCAAATCCTCTTCACCCAAACATGTTTCAGAGGCAGGAGAGTGCTGGCTGCTTTCAATGACCCTTTGTCACTACTCCATTGAATTGTACACTGCATTAATCCTATCAATCATCAGTTTTATTTTATATATGTGTATATATTTTGGATCGTAACTGTGTAAAATAAAGTACATAACCACTGCTATCCATTAGTACTGAAAGTGCAAGTGATATTCCCACACTAAGGCTGGAGAAAGAAGAGCTGCTGGAGAAAGTTGGTGCTGCTGGCTGCCTAGTTTGCCCTGTTATTAAATGAAGTCAGAAGTGAACATGGAAGTGAAAGCCATGAAAGCAATAGTGAAACCATTTTGTTTCATTTTGCATAGCGAAGTATGCAGTAGGCTAACCGAAGGGGAGAGGTAGCACTCCACCAGGTAACTGCTGCTTCTCACCTAGGTCAGCTTGTTCTCAGTTCCCCTGTGACTCCCCTCCCCATACCTCAATGGTGACAGTGGTGTTTCCCTCATCCATCTACATTTGTGGCTCTAGGCCTAAACACTTACCAGGTAGGCAGAACACAACTGGACCACACGCTTTAATTCTTGTAACAAAGGACTAGGGCTGGGAATGGCCTTTCTGGGGGGAAGGTACAGTAATCCTTACAGTTCAGGTGTTGCTACAAAAGTCACTTCCACAACACCACCATAGTTTGCTCTAGTAGAGCTAAATGAATCCTTTAGGGGAGAAAAAAGGGACTTGGTTATCAAAAGTATAATAGGGAGCAGGATTTAACAAGCACCTCATTAAATGCAAAGTGGCAACAACAGCTACAGGCTCTGCAGAAGAGGTCTACCCTACACCGATGGAGAAATGTCACTGTGTGATGAGAAAGCCCTTGGCTGAAACTGCCCCTTTACAAACCCCCTTTTTCAGAGGGGGGGTTTCAGCTGAATGATTTCAGGTAGGGAAAAAAGTCACCACCCCTTGAGCAGCAATAGAAGTCAGGATCATCTTCTAGAAAGCCAGTTGGCCATCCTCTACCACAGCACCTAGGGAACAGAGCATAACCTAAATCCACTGTGCATCTTTACTCTTGAAAACCCCCAAACTGTGGGCAAGTAGTGAAAGGTACCTGACCAATGGTAGAGAAATTTGACATTGATGAGTGCCCATTAAAATTGGAATAATCAACCCTGATTTTACTTTTAAAAGTCATTTGAATGGTATTAAAATGACTCGAGTTTTCCTTGGTAAGGTTCACTAACAGATGTTAGCAATGAGTTTCATTACTTAAGATGGAGAGTTTTGAGAGTCTCTGTATCAGATGATGGATGAGTTGAGTAGGACAGAGTTCTCTCTGCCACTTCCAGCTGTTCAGCAACACTGTCTTTTGGATGAGGAAAAACCTGCTCGAGCTCAATTGCTTTGAATATGCAGCTTGGTGTAATCACCCAACCAGACTGAATATGTGTGTAACCCATCCTATCTTAAATGGTTCTTTAATAGTAATAAGTTAATTGTATGCAATACATAACATAGTAATTAGAACTGTTAAGTTACATGTATGAAAATCTTTATTTGAAAATACAAACATGATTTTAAAACATTTTAACAGATCTACACTGCAAACAAAAAATAACTTACATCTTTTTGTACATATTTTTTTTTTCCCCAACAAAATCTGTTTAACAGTAAGAGTGAGGCAACAATTTCAAGCTGCTGTGACACTGATGAATCCATGGAATGTGTCAATAGCAAACAACTGAAGCGGGGGACGCACACAAAAGCACTGAATGCCCACAACAAATTAGTGCACATCACTGATCAAGTAACATTTATACAGAGGATTTAAAAAAATTGGTTCCTTCTACATGAATTAACACACTCATTTTGGATCAAGTATGAACACTAAACCAGACTTCATTATTAAATAATCTCTGTAGAATGAACATCGATGAAAAGGCTGAAGTTTAAAAGGGCAAGCAAAATTAAAGTTGGGGCAAACAAGGACTACACAGAGAAGAGAAGCAACTTGTCTCAGGCGTTCGCTTTTCCTTGTGCACTAATATGCTCAGCTTGTCAAATGAAACTACTTGTAAATGAGAGCCGAATCATGCGCTCACAGTCAGGTCTCTTCCTTGCCAAGGCATAAACCCCCCAGGGCTGTCTATGAGCATATAAGCATCATGGGCCAGGTATAAATTGTCTCCTTACCTCCCATAGCAGGACAGGAACACCTGTTCACGTATGGGATGGAGATGGTCAGTGCACCACGCATCAATTTAGAAAGAATTATACAGTTCTCTTAAAAACAGTAGATTACTTTTCTCTAAAGTCAAATATTGTTATTCTTCCAAAAAGGAATTATGCAACATCTGTAAATAAATATTTTAATCTATTTTACAAACTATAGACTATTGAATAAATACAAAAAGTTTCATCATTCCATACAAATGCGCTTCTTTTATTTAAAAGGTAGTGTAGTGATTAAATATTTTAGCACAAAACTAAGCTGACTTTCTGGAAACAAAACCCACTGAAACGTATAGGTGCGTAGCAGACCTGCTGCAGACTGTCCCTTCTCTTCTGCAAGTGTTGACCAGAAGTCACCGCTACTCAAAGTCCTCTTCATAGTCATATTCATCCAAGTCTACGTCAGCCAGATGGGAAGGCATTTCAAAAAATGGTCTTTTTTCCATTTGATACTTTAGGACATTGGCTTTCTGATGGTCTACAGGATTCAGCTCTGCTTCATACCTAGGAGTGGGCAAAAAAAGAAAATGTAGAGAGTCTTGCCATGTTGGGAAGCGCCCAAATGTTAGAACGCTAACAAGGCACCTGCAGGAAGAACATAAATTTCCAATATTTTATATTTACAGTAAAGAAACCCATAACCAGAAGCAGCACTAGGTTTCTGTCGCAATTACTTAAATTTAAGCTAGCTTACTCTCCCATCATGTGGGATGTTAGTAGTGAGATACGCAGCTTTACTGAAAGGAATCAAAGCACGTACTGCTCTAGTGGACTACTCCTAAGTTAGAAATGGTCACATGCAAGACTTCAGTGCTTGACAGAGACCCTTCCAGTTCTTTTCAAGAAAGCCAAAGTGATGCTGTATTAGGTAGAACAAACTACACCTGTAGCAGATACAACAAACGAGAAAGAATACTGGA